GCTCGGCGCGCGAGCGTCCGGAAGCCGAGTCCCAGCTGCAGGAAGAGGCGCCCCCTCGCGTTCGCGAATCCAGTCAGGAGGTGGCGGTGAGGGCAGAGGGGCAGGCCAGTCTAAGCGTGCGATGGCTGGCTCCGGATGGTGGCGCCTTCGAGCACCAGTTCGAGGAGGAGGAGAAGTCAGAGGAGGGAGAGGAGGAGGGAGAGGAAGCGGAGTCGGAGGAGGAGTCGGAGGGGGAGCCTGAGGAGAAATCGGGGGAGGAGTCGGTGCCGGAGCCGCGGCTCAAGCCCAAGGAGGAGGGGCCCAAAAGGGGCCTTGTCCACTTTGAACGCTTGCAGGTGACCTGCGCCTGTCCCTGCGTGCGGCCTCCTTACTTGACGTTGATTAGGATGATGGCGAGCCAAGGGCTCGAGGGGCATGGCGCCCGGCGAGTGGCGGGAGCGGGACAGAGGCGCGGCTGTCGGTCGCTGGGGGAGGGCTCGACTCGGGAAAGTTCCCTCTGGAGTCAAGAGAAGGGCATTAGTGCTCGCCTTGTTGCGAGGATGACACAAGGTAACGAGTGTAAGATCCTCAACACGTATAAAACTTGCTCTTCTCGTGAAACAAAGTAATTATGCTCAAGAACTCTTTGCCATTACTTTTTTTTCCCCCCTTTTTTTTTGGCGTGTCCTCTGAAACCAAGAAACAGGTTGCTCTGTGGGTTCTGTTTTGAGCTTTAGGATTATTAAACCAAATGCGTAGTTTCGTATAGTGGCCACTAGCCACGTGTGTTTACTGAGTCCTTGAAATTTGGCTAGCCGGAATTGGGATGTGCTGTAATGTAAAATGCACACAAAACTTAGTACGAAAAAAATGATGTAAAGTATCTCAATGATTTTTTATATTGGTTACATATTGGATTGATAATGTTTTACATATATTGGGTCAAATAGATTATATCATTAAAATTAATTTCACGTGTGTAATTTTGCTTTTTAAATGTGGCTGCTAGAAAATTTTAAATTACAAATAGGGTTTTCATTGTGTTTCTGCTGGATGGTAAAACTGTGCTAGCCTGTTGGAGTCAAGCTGCCTTGGTGGCATCCGCATTGCAGGGTTTATTTGCCTTAGGCCAGAGATGTTGTTTGCACTTATTATTGCTCTCAGGTGGTAGTTTTCCTTCGCGCTGATATTTTTCTTTAGAGGTGGGAAAACAGGGGCCTAGAGTTTGTTATACCTACCTGCTTCAAACTTTTACTTCCTCTGCCTGGCCTCGTGACATTTAGGTTTGCCGCTCTGAGAACTAACAGTCCTATTTCCTGTGGACATCCAGGGCTAAGGGAGCACACCAAACCCTGCTACAAAGGATGAGAGGTCCTGGAAAGCTTCACTGGGGAGAGGACCTTTAAGTCTAGACTCAAGGAGAAAAAGGGTGGAGTTAAGGGCATTCCAAATGGAAAAGCATTGCCTGTCCCAAGGCATGGAGTGAATGGGAGCAAAACTTTGTGGAAATTGCAGGCTGGACAGGAAAGTGGTTGGGGTATGGGGAAGGGATGAGAGCTGGAGTTGGAATGTCAATTGGAGGTTAAATCATAAAGAGCCTAGAATTCCACATTGCAAAATTGAACCTTGTTCTCTTGTGAAAGGGAATGAACTTTCGTGGTACTTGGAATCGTGAACATTAGATCTCTAGTCCATTTCTTCCATCCCTGCTGGAATCACAGAATATTACAGATGGAAGGAGAGATCTTAGAGATCTATTAGGATTGTAGAATATTAGAATGGAAGGGACCTTAGAGAGTAAATCCAAAAATCAGATTCAGTTATTCTAAACTCTTTATGGGTCAATAAACTCCCCAAATCTATTTTTTTTTTTTTTTAGTTCTAATACCTTTTCCTAGAAAAGGGATGCATTTACATACATCGGCATATAATTTCAGGTAATTTCAGATAGCCTTGAACCCACCCAGAGGGCCCTAGTTAAGTGTAAGATATATATTTGTATGTATTCCATTCTCCTGAATTTTGCAGGTTAAGAAGTCAAGATTCCAAATAGCAACGGATTGGTCCAAAATCAAAAAGCTATTCCTAGGAGGACAGAATTCTTTTGACTCCTAGTCTAATGCTCTTACCATATTAGGCGTTTTTATTAGCACTAGGTTGGGAGCTCACATGAGAATGGATCATAAATCATTCATCTCCTATAACTTAGCTTCCAACACAAAGCCTGACTCCCAGCTGACTCTCAGTAAATGTTTATTAGAGAGGACAATCGGTAGATTGCAGACCATCCCTGTGAAGGGAGAGCTCCAGTATGATTTCCAGACTCTTTGAGACAGAGACTTTACTGTCTTTTGATGGCACATTGTTGGGAGTTGTGGATCAGAAGCTGGATACTTAAAAAAAACAAACAAACCCAAAACACAACTCTATTGGAAATAGTTACAGATTCATAGAAAATTACAAAATAGTGCAGAGAGGTCTCCTGCACACTTTCCCCAGTTTTCACCAATGGTAACATCTTGCATAACTGTAAAACAATAGCAAAACCAGGAAATTGACTTTGACATAATCCATACAGTTTATTCAGATTTCACAAGTTTTATATGCAGTCATTTGTGTATGTGTGTAGGCTTGTGCAGTTTTGTCACATGCATAGATTCGTGCAACTATACCGCCATCAGTACCTAGAAATGTTTGATCACCACCAAGGTCCCTTGTTCTACTGCTTTATAATTACACCCATTCCACTCCCCTACCCCCATCCCTAACCTAGCACTGATACTAATCTCTTCTCCATCTCTATAATTTTCTCATTTCAAAAATGTTACATAAATGGAATCATGCAATAGGTAACTTTTGGGGATTGGCTTTATTTTTTTCAAATAATTCCCTGGAGATTCACCCAGGTTGTTGTGTGTATCAGTAGTTTGTCCATTTTTATTGCTGAGTCATAATCCGTGTGTCGATTATGTGTGGATTAATCCATGGAGATAACTACCACACAGAATGGCTCTGAAGTCAATGAGGGAATATATGTAAAAGACATGGTACCAGGTCTGGTATTATTTGGATGTTCTTTAACTTTTTACATCAATGTTTTATAGTTTTCAGTATAAGAACCTGCACATATTTTGTTATATATAATATTTCATGTTTTTGGTGCTGCTATAAATAGTATTGTTTAAAATTTTTTGATTTTTAATTGTTTGATACTGTATAAAATGTAATTGAATTTTTGTTTAGTAACTTGTGTCCTTCATTAATCTGGAAACTCAGCCCCATTGGGTTGTTTCCTCAAGTTTTTACTACCCTCCCACCCCCAAATCCACTTGACATCATTTGTTTTTCAGAATCTCAAGTTAGTTGTTGTTTCTATTTTGTCCAGAGTTTTTAGTTGTAACAGACTGGGGAGAGAGTCTGTAATAGGGTTATTCCATCTTGGTAGCCCCTGGAATTCATTATTTATTCTGACAATCAAATTATCTCAGATTTGACTAGCGGGAGCCCTTCAGGCTGACTTCTGCGTCCTTTCGATACGTCTCCATATATAACACATTTTGTTTATCCATTCATTTCTCAATAGACATTTGAGTTACTTCTCCCTTTTGACTATTGTGAATAAAGCTGCTGTGAACATTGGTGTATTGACATCTGAGTCCCTGCTGTCAATTCCTTTGAGTACATACCCAGAAGTGGAATTGCTGGGCCACATGGTAATTCTATATTTGGCTTTTTGAGGAACTATCTATGTCTTCCACAGCAGCTCCCACATCATACATTCCCACCAGCAATGCACAAGGGTTTCAATTTCTCCTCATCCTTGCCAACACTTGTTATTTTGCATTTTTTTAAATGTGAGGTATTAAATAGAAAATTTTAAGATAAATTACTAATGGACAAGAAATTCAGATTTTGACAGATTTAGTAATCCTATAATTTCACTTACACACATCACATACTACATACATCATCCAGGGAGCCAGCTGTGATCATGGTGAAGGGGAAGCCGGTTCAGCTAATGAGGTGATTTGGATAAAAAGCCCCCAGGACATTTAATTTTTATTACAAAATCTATGAGGCTTGCTCTGGTCTTTCTATTGGCTATTAACCTCTTTTTGATAACCTTTTTTATCATGTATGTTTGATCTTGGGATGAAGGTATATTTTATCTTTTGATGTTTTGATGAGCCATAGGTAACTGGTCTAAGGTGCTTAATCTAACTGGATTATGTTCTGTAATTAACTTGGTTTTTAGTAATTCTCATTCCTGATAAGACAGTGTCAGTTCAGAAGCCTAGATATTTCCTAATCCTTTTGCGTTTTCCTCCTTTCACTGATTTCTATTCAGTGACTGTGACCCTCTTAGTTCCCAGTTTCAGTGAACCTGTTTTTACTGTGGTGTTCTACCAGTGGCTCTGTGTTCCTGATTGTACTGCATTGGTTTTGTTAATTAAAAACTGATTCATTCATTTGAATAGGTGATACATATATATCTAATACAAAAATCAGAAGTCAAAAAAGAGTAATTATTATACTTCTGCTTTTCTTCATCCTTTCCTATCCAGTTTGTTATTTTCAGTTCCCTTTATATCTTTAAATATGTTTATACATCTGTTTCTAGGTTTATCAAGTTTAAAATCTCTTAAGATTTACAGTTATGAAAGTTGAAGAAACCCATATACTCAACCCTCCCACTTGCTTTGTTTAAATTTATTTATTTATTTTTGGGGAGAGAGGTAATTGGGCTTATTTATTTATTTAATGGAGGTACTGGGGATTGAACCCAGGACCTCGTGCATGCTAAGCATGTGCTCTATCACTGAGCTATACCTACCCCCTCAATCCTCCCACTTTTCCGTCTCTGTATATCTCCATACTTGTTAGCCATATTATTCTTGGTTCCTTTTTAATTGTTCATTTCCAACTCCTTCGCTTGCTTTTTGCAATCACATTCTCTGTATTCAGCAAGGCTAGCTTCCTTTTTGATGTTTCTGAAATGACCTTCACTTCAGAGTTCTGTTTTTTTTTAAGTACATTCTTTCCTGAGCCCTGCCAGTGCCATCTCCTCCAGTTGCTTCATCATCTCTTCTTTGAACTATTGCATCTTTGCTTTGATCTCTTGTTTTAAAATTCATTAAGCCCTTTGAATCCTTTGTTGTTCATGATTGTCATCTTTTTCATGTTAATTTTTTTCTGGTGAGTGCCTTTCATCTAACATTTGTTTTTCTTGTTCCCTGCTTCCCTCTCCCACTTTTCTGTAATATATTTATATAGGTCTGGTGCTATTTACTTTTTATTCTAACTCCCCCTTTAAATGAAGTGAGGTCTTCCTGGACCAGCTGTCTGTTGCAGTTGAGTGGGAAAGGGACTAGAGTAGAATTCCAGGCTGGTAGGAAGTCTTTTAGGGTTATTAGTGAAGCTCCTTTTGATAAGGGTTTTGTGTGAGTGAATTTAGTTCTTCCTCTTCATAGCAGATGGAGCTTGGCAGCTGCAGGCTTGCAAAAATGACATGTCTGTGTGTTTCCCTGGTCAGTCCACATGCCAAGGAAGCTCCCAGAGCCAGCCCTTACATCACATCCCAGTGTTCAACAGAATATGCTGTTGGTTCTGCCTTCAAGGTGCATGACCTTCTTTGACCTTCTCTGGAGGACTCCAGCCTCTGCCAGCTCTCCCTAAGTGGGACCTCAGCCCCAAGCATCCTCTTTTGACTTTAACCCTCTGTGTCTTCTGGGCACTTGCCATTTCTGCATTCACATGGTGGGTTCCTGCTCTGAGCACCTTTGCCAGAGGGCCTTTTCTGCCACTGAATTGCTCATCCCAGAAATGCTGGCAAATGAATGCCTCTAAGAGCAGCCCTCAACCAAAGTGACAGTTCTGAGGTGTAGGGGAGCAAAATTTGCCACCCCAGAATGTGTCTCTTTGGCATAAAGATTAATTTAAGCTGATTATTTTTTGGCATAAAGATTAATTTAAGCTTATTATTTTTAAGAAACAGAAACCTCAGGCAGTCTTTCTTTTTACCTCCCCCTTAGCTGCCTTAAGAATTTAGATAAAAGTCCTTTTCCTGAATAGAGCTAATACCAGAGACATCTGCAGAGAATCTGAGCTTGGGTGGGGTGGAGGGTGGTGTGGGCAGGGATAGGGGATACTCCACAGGACTCTGACCCAGTCCTTTCTATGACGCATTGTCTCTATATGGCTCAGCGAACATCTGTTTACCAAATATTTGTTCTTTAATCTACATGTGTGAAATAGCCTTACTCTCCCTAGAAGTCTCAAATCACTACCCTCAACATCCTCTTTTGTCTTTAGCTGAAGAAGCTGAAAGTTAAGGTGAGAATTTTGGCCATTTTGGCGAATTACTCAGTTTTCCTGGGTCTCTCCCAAGTATACATGTTATTAAACTTTTGTTTGATTTTCTCCTGTTAATCTGTCTCCTGTCAGTTTAATTCTTATACCAGCCAGAAGAACCTAGAAGGGTAGAGGAACATTTCTTCCTTTCTGACAGAGGCATGCTCTGTAAAGTCTTACTAAATAAGGTCCCCAGTACGTCAGAGCCCCAGATGCCAACAAGAGTGACATTAACCTGCTTTTGTCAAAAATTGTTTTTGATATATGAAGATTGTGTGATTTTTCTCCTTAGTCATGCTAACTTAACAAATTATATTCATAGATTCTCTGTTGACCATCCTTGTATTCCTGAAATGATGTTATTTTAAAATGTGGTATTGAATTCTGTTTGCTTAATACTTTAATATTTATTAAATTATTAAAATGTTACATATTTTAATAATTTAAATAGTATTTGTAAATGGGATGAATCTCTAGCTTTCCCATTTTATGCAACTTTTATCAGGTTTTACTGTACATATTCTTATTTCATAAAAAGAATTTGGTAGTTTTCCTTCTTTTTATGCTCTGGAGCACTTTTGAGAATTATTAAGATTATCTGAAGTTGCCTGTGAAAACTTAAGACCTGGTACTTTTTTCTTTTTTGGGGGTGGTGGTGAGAGAGCTCTTTTACAACTTTCTCTATTTCACCTATTCTCCTATTCTTTCTATTAGATAGTTTCTTTTGGGGTCACTTTGGCAAATTGTATTTCTTAGAATATTACCCATAAAATCCCAGTATTTAAGGTTGATAACTTATTCAAAATTAAAAAAAAACTTCATCATAACATGATAGCAGATATGGCCTATGGACCACCATTTTGCAGCCACTGATTATAGTCAAAACATTTTAGACCTGAAAGAGGCCATATAGATCCTGTCCTGGCAGTAACCAACAGGGAACAGGGAACACAGGTTGTATGAGGTGAAAGATTTAGGTGAATTGGAGAGCCCATTCCCCAGCTAAAGTTAAGCAAGTTAAGTTTTCACAGTATTTTAACCAAAACACCATGTGGGCCAGATAAAGCAGTCTGCAAGCTCAGTGTAGCTCATGGGTGGCTGGCTGGTTTGTGGCCTCTGCCAGCCCAGTCTCACTTCTTCCTACACCTCCTGGGCATCTCACTTTCCAGCTGCATCTCATGCTTTCTGAACAGGCCTTGCCCTTTCTTCGTATAACTTTGTAGCTTTATTCTAGTCGGACTTTCTCTTATGGCTACAGAGGCATATTCCTTTCCTACCATATTGTGAGCTCCTAATGAGCAGGGGCCATATTTTATTCATCTTTGTATATAGTTGTATATTCATGTTTTGTACATAGTTGGAGGTCTCTATATGCAAAATAATAAGGATATTTTTATCTTGAAAATAAATTATTTGTGGAAATGACTCTAACTCCATTTTATGAGGAAGATGAGGCCCAACATAGTCAACTTATCCAAGATCAAGAGGAATAGGACCAGTGTTCTTTCTGACATTCAGCCCTATAGCTATTCAGTTATAAGATTAGGAACTGGGATAGAAACAGAGCTTTCTTATTTTCTAGAACTGAATTCAGTGTCTGACACTGAGTCCCCAGCCTGCTTCCTTGCAGACAACTTAATTTAGATGTCTTCAGGTAAATTGAGATCCAGTCTAGTGATATTGAGGGGATGTAATTTCAGGCTTATTGACCCATCTTCAGAGCTCTCCAAACTTCCTGCCTCTTCTTTACTGCACTGATCCAATTTCCAGGGGAAATTATACAACCACAACTGGCAAGAGGTGAGGTTGGGAGTGTCTCCTTTTGAGGTTTCATCAGATTCTTGGTTTTACTTACTGGCATCCTCTGATGACCCCCTTAACCTGGATCCTCTCCATGTCACCTGGATGCTGAGACAACTCAGAGGACGGATGGGACACCCCCTGTCCATAGCCACCTCCAACCATCTTTCTTGCTTTCCCCATGTCTAATAGTTTCTCTCAGAAATCCTCTAAACTCTTGTAGGGGATCTTCTTATATTTCCTTCCTCAGGACTAGGTTTGTGATGGGGGTAGGGAGACACAACACTGCTTTTCTCTTTTTCTGAAACTTCCTCTTCTTCTGTCTTTCCCGGAGTTTTTTGCATCTTTTCTTCAGATAAGGGGAAAAAAATAGTTCTACATTTTCTCACCTCTGTAAATGATTAATGTTTCACCAGAGTGGTGGCCTTTGAATTTAGTCATTTAGAGCCTCAGTCTGTTTTTTCAGCTGTCCAGCTGTCCTCACTGCATTCAGTTCCGTTCCATTTGGCTAGCAGTTGGGGGCGGCTTAGCTGGATAGGAGGGGCACATCAGGCAATACTTGAAGTCATAGTTTTTCACTAAAGATTCTTGTACAAAAGCAGGTTGGGATTATCAACTGCTGTCTTTGATCTAGTAGAAAAAAGTACTCTAGGACCCTTATGCTTTGCTTTCGGAAGGACCTCAGAGTCATTGAGTTCTCGTCACCAAGTTCCTTTTAACATTTGGCATCCCATTTGGTTGAGGACTTCTGATTTGCTCACTGTTCCTGACTTGCTGATTTTACAAGATTTATAGGATAGTGCCACACACCTACACTCCAGGTTCTCCAGTTTCTAAGCCTCAGAGTGGTCCCCAGGCTGAGGTGTCGGATGCCCCATCCCCAGCCCAGAAGTCTCCTGCTTTCAAGATGGCCTCGTGACTCTGGCGGTTATTTAGCTACTTTGAAACTCAGCCTCTTGGAAGGAGTGGGTGTGAAGTCCCTCACCTTGTAGTAGTTGTGAGGATTAACTAAGATAATGCCTATGAGTGCTCAATAAGTGTTAGATTCCCAGTTTCCAGTTATTTCCCACTTCCCTCTCTTCCTTCTAGAATCCTCCACTGTGACATGAGATTCTGAGAATGAGATTTGTCAGAACAGGGCTTCCAGCTGCTGTTGGTAGGATCTGAGGAACAGAGAGGAGATCTTACGTTGCCACTGAGGGAAGCTGTTTCTAGTATAACAGGATTCTTCGGGGAAGATTTATGGTCCTACCCTTGAAAGACAAAGGGGCTGTTGTACCATTTGCCACCTCAGGAACCATGAGGAGATACAGTGTGCCCCATTCCTGGCAGATCCTGAAGAAGGTATTGGTGAGGAGTGTCAGGGCCCCTGGGAGGGAAGAGTGGAAGACTGAGCTGACAGGTATTTTGAGGAAGGAAGAGGCAGGTGTAGGAGGGGGCCTTGGATGAATGTGGCCGCCCTGTACCTTTTGGAGTCACAAAGGAAAGCGTTCCAGGTTAGGCTTCAGAAAGACTGAATTCTGGCCCCTGCCTTGTTGCCTACTCTGCCCTCGACACTAGGCAGGTCAGAAGCCCCTGAGAACTGTTCTGGACCCACCCTTCACGCTGTTAGGAGATCCAGAGAGAATAAGGCCTGGCCTCAGTGTAGAGTAGTAGTAGGCTAAACTTATGGACTCTGGAGCCAGGCGTCCTGGGCTCAAATCTCTATCACCTGTTAGTCCTGTGACTGATACTAGTATTAGGCAAGTTACATGATTTGCTGTGCCTGTTTTCTCCTCTATGAAGGGTGATAACATTAGTGCCTGCTGCGTTGCTTTATTGTTGAGGATTAAATGAATCAATACATAGAAAGGGCTTAGAATAGTGCCTGACAATGGCAAATTTCTTCAGTAAATATTAATTTTATTAATAAAGCCTTGCCCCACATTTCCTTTGGATATGTAATTTAAGAATAAATTACAGTTACAGGTGAAGTGCCTCCACATCCCACTCCCTTTCTCCTCACTGGCAACCACTTTCCTGAGGTTGATGTGTACCCTTCCTATTGGTATTTAAACATTTTGTTACATATGTATGTATGTACCCATAAGCAACTACAGTGTGTGGCACATTTTAAAGAATGGTGTTATAAATGGCACATCTCATTACACCTTTTTTCCACCCAAAATCATGTGTGAGCATTGCCCACATTGACACACACTGCTCTAGTGCCGTGTCCGGTCCTGTGACTGTCCTGGATATGTCCTCTACTGGTGGACACTTCAGTGTCTTTAGCTCTTCACTGTTCCAGCATGCCCTGGTCATCCCCATGGCTATCTCCGTGTGCATGTGTGTGAGTTTCTCCAAAGTGTATACATTAAGTGCAAACAATTCCTTGATTGTAAAGTGCACACATCCTCAGCTTTTCAAAATGTTGCCAAATTGCTCTCCAATGTAGTCGTGCCATATTTCTCATTTCCCCACTCTGATAAGTGTAAAATGGTATCTTGGTACTTTCATTACATTTCCGTTATTTTTGGTGATGTTCAGAATCTTTTCATTATTTATAGGTGGTTTGAGTTTTCCTTTTGAATTACCTGCTTATATCCTTTGTTCATTTTTCTTTTGGGTTGTTTGCATTTTTCTTTTAATTTGTAGAACTTTTAAAATTAAAAAAAAATTTGGATAGTAACCCTTTCTGATAGTAATTCTTTATAATTCTGAATAGTAATCCTTTGTGAATTATATGATGGCAAATATATTCTTCTAGTCTGCAGTTTGTCTTTTCCTTCTGTTGATGATGTTCTTATTAACAGAAGTTAATAAACAAAAGTTTTCAGTTTTTGCCTTTTTTTAATTATGGAAATTTTTAAACATAAAAGTTGAAATATATATAATGATCACGACCCTTAGATCCAACAATCAACATTTTGCCATATATTAGCTTTATGTATTGGCATGTGTGTGTGGGCACAGGTGTGTTTGCTGAACCCTTTCAAAATAAATTGTATACTTTATAATACTTCTTTCTTAAAAATAAGGACATGACCACAATATCACTATAATACTAAGAAAATTAACACTAATTCCCTAATATCATATAATATCTAGTCATATTCAGTTTTCTTATTTATCCCTAAAATGTCTTTTACAGCTTGTTGTTATAAATCAGGAGCCAATCCAGGTTCATATTTTGCATTTGTTTGTATGTATCTTGAGTATTAATCTAGAACAGCCCCCGCGCTTGGTTTTTTTCTCATGAAATTGACTTTTTGAAGAAACTGGGTTAATTAGTAGATTGTTTCGCATTCTAAATTTGTCTCTTTGATGTTGAACTTGTTTCCCTGCCCTCTGTATTTACTTGGGATGGAGAAGCTGATTTGTTCTCAGTTCTAAATTCTCAGGGAAAAGCTAGGATGGCCTGTCTTGGATCACAAGTTACATTAGGTTTCTCTTGGCTGCTATACCACAATTTAGTGGCTTGAAACAACATACATTTATTATCTTCTGTAGGCTAGAAGTCTGGCACGGGTTAAAATCCAAGTGTTAGCAGGCCTGTGTTTCTTTCTTGAGGGTGGAAGGAAGAATCTATTCCCTTGACTTTCTGTCTTCTAGAGACCACCCTCATTCCTCTGCCTTCAAAGCCAGCAGTGTTGCATCTCCTGACCGTTCTTCCCTCAGATCCATCTGATTCCAAAATGCAGGCTCTTCACATCACTCCTCACTGCCAGCCGTTACTCTTGCACATTATTTTCTGGACCAAAGTGAAGGATTTGACAGTTAACTAGAGCTGGGCTGGTGAATGTTTTAGCAGTTGGATCCCGGGGAGGGAGATGCCCCCATTTGTTGTACTTGCCAGTTTCTGTGGCATAAATACTCCTGTCCTAGCTAGTTTCAAGCCACCAACATGATTTCAACAGGCTTGAAAAATTCCTGAAGATGTAACCAGCAACATCACAGCACTTAATCCTATTGCATTTCGCCCAGTTCAGGACTATCTAGGCTGCTATTAACTGTTGGTTTCCACTGATCTTGTTTGTTTTGTTTCCGCAGGGGCTGTACCAGCTCACTATGGATATCATTAAGATGATCCGAGTGTGTAAAATGTTTCGCCAAGGCCTCAAGGGATTTCGGGAATATCAGATCATTGAGACTGCTCACAGAAAGAACCCTGTCTTCTCTTTCTGGGATGTAAGCTGCTGGGGTTCGCAGGTTTATGAGGCTTTAAAGGAGCCCAATAAGTAACACTTCACTTCCCAGCCCAAGTTCTGAATCAGTTGAGAGAGAAGACAAAGGGTAAAACAGATAGGAGACCCAACTGTCACTTTTATTAATGATAAGACTTATATTGGAGAAGGTGACTGGTATCATCAAGTGAGAGGGTTACCTATATACTAATTCTTTCCTGCCCCCTCATTTAGACAAGAAGGGGACATTTGCAGGGCCACTTTGGTGACCATGCTTTCTAGATTTACTAGAAGGTTCCAATTTCAAATATTGTATCCCAATGATAGATCATGAGCACCTTTTTGGTTCTAACAAGTTGATCATTATTCCATTAACTGGTTCTGGTTTCCCAAAGGTGTCTTCATTACTATCTAGAGCTCCAAAGTTTCCCCAATCAATACCTGGACAAACCCTGCCCATATTCCTATTATTCCAAGAGTGACTAGTTCCAGCCCCTGCCTCCACCACATCCAAGGATTCACTCCAAGATATTTCCCACAATGGTTCCTGAAGGCTAGCAGCCAAGGAGAGGGGTTTGGGAGGGGTGGTGGTGATGGAGGAATGGAAGGTGGTCTCAAATTGGTTTCTCAGGGGCCAGCAGGTAATGTAACTGGGTGTGTGTAGCTGAGTTTAAGATGCATCAGGGAGTAGGCAACTGTGGTGCAGCTGGAGAGGAAGGGCTTGCCCCATCTGAAGATATTCAGATTCATATGTTATGGAGACACTGTGCTTGCCAAACCAAACAACATCCACAGCCAGATTCTGCCCTGTTGTTGGGCCATGAGATGAGAAAGGGTGGAGTAGGAGTGTGGTAACCTCAGGAAGGGCATTCTGCCTCAAGATGTCATGCGGTGGTGAAGCAAAAGGCCCTGGAGACCAGGAGTGTTTGGTTCCCAGGAGACTTGGGCTGATGCCCAGGCAGTTGGAAGGTGAAGACCAGAGTCAGGTTTGTTATCAGGGGAGTGTGAGGCTAATCCTGACAACACTGCACAGTCAGGATGGCCTTACACAGAGCAGAAGCTTCTCAGGGACAGCCTATGGGGGTCACACGTCTTCTGGGTAGAGGGCTGGGGGGCAGGGGTGTTATGGAAGCAGAGAGAACTGTAGACTAGTTTTCAGTGGGGTATGTGAATCCAGATCTTTCTGACACCACCTTTTTCTTTCATTGGCCTCCCTGAGAAATACCACACAGGTGCACAGACTGTAAGTGGAGGGAAAAGACAGGGATCTGAGTGGACTCTAGGGAAGGACATGAGATGTGCCTAGAGATATGAGTGGGGGGTCCTGGTTTGGCCCACAATGGTGGTCAGAGCCTTGTTTGTCCCTTTCCTTCCCTCTACTTCCCCCTGCATAGCTTTTTCCTCTCTGTGTGCCCCCTTCTCTTCTCTACTCTTTCCCCATCTTCTTTGCTTCTGTTAGGAAACAGGGTTGGCTTAGTTCATCCCTAAGACCTCCTATTCTTCTTCCTTCTGGCCATCCTTTAGATGCTATGTGATCCTTGGGTAACTTCCTTCACCCACCTCAAATCCTAAGTGGGGCTGCTTAATAAAACCTGCTTTGTCCTGATGACCTGATGATGCATATCGACTTCATTTACTCTTTTTTATCCTTCCTTTTTGTTCTTTTTTTCTCTCTATTTTCTCTCTCTTTTTTTTTTTTTTTTGCTTTTTTCCCCCCTCTTCCTTTTCTTTCTCCATCCTTACTCTCTCTATCCTCCTTTCCTTCTCCCCACCCCATCTCTCTCTGCCTCCATTAAATAGTATGTTGTCAATTCTGGGCCCGAGTCTTGTGCAGAGTTGGGGCTTTTGAGCAGATGGCAGAGGTGGACATGAGAGGCTCATCTGGTAGGAGTTTTCCCATGGGTTCCCGCCTATGATGGTGAGCCAGGTGTGCAGAAGCATTTCAATGCAAAATTCTAGAAGCAGTCTTGCTGATTCTCCTTCCTCTCCCTGACTCCATTTTTTTTTTTTTTTCGAGAAGAAGAAACAAGGCCGAATCACATTTGATACCATGGACTTTGTAGCACAGTCGGTATGTATAGATAGCTCTGACCTTGCTGCTGGGAATTTTGTTTGTTTTGCATCATGGTTTGAAGGAAGCACTGGGCTGGGTATCAGGACAGCTGGGTTTAGTCCTGATTCTGCCACTAACCCAGTGTTCCACCTTGAGCTAGCCACTTAGTTTCCTCATCTATAAGATAGCTGATCCCCATGATCCCTTTCAGTTCTGACATTCCAAGACTGCTAGCCACATACCTGCCCTCCCCCTGCCCGCTGGAGCTCACTGTTGCTTGATAGCTGAGCAGAACTGGCAGGGGAGATCTCCTGCTCTTCAACCAGTGGGAAAACAGTGGAAGGCAAAGCAGAGAATGTGAGACCCCCAGACAAAGGAGGAATAATCGGTGTGGTGGGAAAAGCCCTGGCCTGTGTGTGAATTCTGGCTCTGCCCCAAACTTTCTGAGAGCTGCTGGGCATACCCGTTCCCAACCTGGGCTTGGGTGGCCATTCTGATGAGGAAATGCCTTTGTGTCATTTGGATTGTGTGACTTTTTCTCTGAGTTTCAAGAATTATTATCTTCCTGGCTTTTCCCCATCAAATCTTGGATATTAAATTAAAATTTAAAGTTTCATTTAAATTTTAAAGAGGCTCACCTATTTATAGGGAAGACCTGAAGTACTTATCAACATAGACCTGATCCGACCCTGGCCTGGAGCAGCCATGCTGATTTTCCCTCATGAAAAGCAGAGAGAACAGAGCTTTATAAGGGGTACCAGGACCACCTGTGCCATCCTGCTACCCTCTCCTCCCTTGAAGCCAAGGTGTGGCTTTGTTGCCTGCCTCTCCTGGGCATAGTCTAATTTTTCATGCCCCATGATGTATTAAGTACAGTGAAGTCATCCAAATTCTGAATTTCATCAGTTTTCAAGACCAGCCAATGTCTGATGCTGAAGGTTACCCAAGTTTTGCCCTTCGGAAGGAGAACCTCGGGGTCTCCCTGAGAGCCACAGAACTCTAAAGATGAAGGCAATTCTGTGCACAACAGTAGAGGGAGAAAAGACAGCATGAAGGAAAAATCCATCACATAGGCAAGGCCTCTCTGCCTCTTGAATGAGTTATAACTGGCTTTGGTTCCACCAAGGAGATAGAGAGTAAAAACCCAATTTAAAAATCTGCCCTTTGAATGTCTGCTAATGGGTACCAGGTTCCTTTTTAGGGTGATGAAAAGGTTCTAAAATCCATTGTGGTGATGGTTGCACAACTCTGTGAATATACTGAAAATCACTGAATTGTACACTTTTAATGGGGAATCATACGGTATGTGAATTATATCTCAATCAAGTTGATACACATATTTATACATATATAAGCTGTCCCTCAGGACAACACTTGAAAACTAAACTTTGATACACTCTAAATTAGGACTGTACAAATGCTAAACCTCTCAAAAATAACCCAAAGGATTATAGAGGCTTAGAATCATAGACTCATTTATTATAGCATTTCTAGGACATTGGAAGCAACGGGTACATTGCTAACACAGTTTAGGGAAAAAACATCGAGTGAAAGAAAAGCAAGTTGCATAAACAGTGCCTGCAGTCTTACATTTACATAAATAAAAACAAAACAATTCTGTACATATTCTGTGGGTACATGTATGAGTATGTAATAATATATGTAAATAGTTAACTCTGGCGGTGGAGGGCGGATCAGGATTCAGGGTGACATGGTACAGGGAGCTTTTACCATCTGTATTGCTCTAATTTTTGATGGAAAATACAGTCATGTATTACTTGGGTTGTTTTAAAAAATGTTATACATAAGAAAAGAGCAGGAAACAAGTATGTGTCATGTTAATGGCTAATTCTGCGTGGTGGCATTGTGGGCAGCCCCTCTCAGAAACACAATGAGGGGGTAGCTGGCCTGGAGCCAGTGAGGGTGACAGCACTGAGAAATGGTGTTTGAGAAGGAGGCAGGGGTCACATCTTCCAGGCTCTGTTTGAATAATATGCCCCTTTCCCCATTCCAGGTATTTTTTTGAGCTCCTGAGGTAGGCCTAGATCTGTGTCTGGTTATGGGGAATACAGTCAGCTCTCTGTATCTGCAGGTTCCACATCCATGGATTCAACCAACCACAAACAGAAAATATTCAGGAAAAAAAAATTCCAGAAAGTTCCAAAAACCAAACTTGAATAAACAGTAGCAATTGGCAACAATGTGTAGAGCATTTATACTACATTTACAACTATTTTATTTCATTAGATATTGTAAGTAATATAGAGATGATTTCAAGTATACAGGAGAATTGCATAGGTTATATGCAAATACTACACCGTTTTATATAAGGGACTTAAGCATCTGTGAATTTGGGGATCCGCAGGAGTCCTGGAACCAATCCCCCAACCCCTTGTAGATACTGAGGGACAAGAATGACTACTAGGTTATGTAACATTTGCATCTGCCCTTAAGGAGCTACTTAGGAGCTAAGGTGAGGAAACTTACCCAGGAAGTTAAATAACAGGCTGTCAGTTTGTAGGAATCCACAGAAGTGAGTCTCAAGCGTTGGGGGTGGTAAGAAAGATTTCCTGAAGGAACAAGGGCCCCAAGTGGGTCCAAAGAATCAATTTGGTTCATAGAAGCCAAAGGCATCTATGTTTTGCCATAAATAGACCCTGTGGTAGAAATCCCAATGGGTTATTGATAGTAAGAGAGAGAAAGGAGAAAGACTAGATTCAGACCATTAAAAAAAGGCCACGTTTCCATAGCCCTTGCTCTGTTCCGGGGGCATTTTAAGCCCTTGACACATATTAACTCTGCTGTTTGTACATGTATTTTCTATTATTGTGAGGTAGGGAAACTGAGGCTTGGGGAGAAGTGACTGGTCCCAGGACACAGCTAGGAAGCAGCAGGACAAAGTTCAAACCCAGGCACCTGGCACCAGAGCCTGTGTGTTTTTTTCTTATCACTATGCTACACTGCCTTTCCCGGTGAATATGCAAGGCATCAGATCTGCTGTTGAGATGTCCAGAATCCTGCATCATGTGATACTTTCCTTTTGCTTCTGGAACAATTACTATATTTAAGACTGCTGGCATCCATTCATTCCTTCCATAAATGTTTATTTTGTTAAGTGTCCGCTACAGGTGAGACGTTATTCTAGAGTGATAGACAATGTAGACGAGGCCACAATCCTGTTTATATTGGGGCTTATATTCTAGAGCACCTTCGTCTAATCAAACTATCTGTGACAATGAAAATGTTTCACAGTCTGCATTATCCAATACAGTAGCCAGCAGACTCGTGCAGCTATTGAGCATTTATGTCTAGTGTGACTGAGGGACTTACTTTTTAATCTAATTTAACTTAAATAGCCACGTGTGGCTGTTGGACATATTGGACAGTGCAGTTCTAGATTGTGTGTGTGTGTGTGTGTGTGTGTGTTTAGGGTGGGGAAATGACAGATGGTATAGACATTAACAAGAAGGAATAAGATCATTTAAGAAAGAATTAAATGCTTTGAAAAAAATGATTCAGAGCTTACAGAGTGCTGAGAAGGGGGCCTGCTATTTTAGCTCAGATAATCTAGAAGGTTCTCCCTGAGGCTGTGGCTCCATATGAGCTGAGAGCAGAGTGAGGAGGAGGCAGCAGCCATTTCCTGTGAAAATCCAGGGGAAGAATGTTCCAGGCAGCGGAAATAGCCCAAGCAGAGAACTGAAGACAGAAGTGAGCTTGGCATGTGCCAGAGGTGGGAAGGAGGCTAGAGACGAGAGAATGAAGGGGGAGGCAGGCAGGGAAGTTGGAGGGCTGGAGGGAGGGATGGAGTCAGACGTGGGGTCCCTAGACTGTGGCAGGAGTTAAGATTTTATCCTAAGTGCGATGTGCGGCCAGTAGTGGGTGTTAACCACTCACAGTGCTATTTCCCCAGCAGGTGGGAGTAGTGAGTGAGCAGGTGGGTCTGCCTGCCTATTGGTCTGAGAGTCTGGGTTCATGAGGGTTAGCTAACAGTCTCTGTAGGTTCTCTTTTTCCCTTGGTCTCCTGGAGCATGCTGAGGTATGGGCTGAGGCAGAGGAGGTCTCCCTTGACTGCAGGGTGCATGGGCGGTGGGCCCTGGAGCCCAGAGAGCCCCATTATTGACTGAGGGGTGTCAATGTACAACAGAGGCAGTGTGATCAGTAGTTGGGGATCAGGCCTTGGCATGTCGCAGTTCTAGGTTAAGATCCCGCCTGAGTATCTTCATTGGTCAAATGGGGATAATAATCGTGCCTTGATTCTTTGGGCAAAGATGCAGTGAGACAGTGTGTGTGTAAGATGCTGATCCTGATGCCTGGCACACAGTAAGCACTGAGTACATGCCAGCCACTATTCTACAGGGAGTGGGAAAGTGTAAAAGCAGGAGTGTGGGGAGCTGCCTACTAGCCCCTGAGGGAAACTGCTGGATCCTGTTTCATTTTGGCTCTTTCTCCCCAGGGTCACTTTCCTCCAAAGGCCATTCAGATCACGCAGAAGAAGCCTGCTTGGAGGACAGAGCATGAGATTCAGGCTCTCTGCAACCTCTTGCAGATTCTAGATAGTTACCGGAGCTATTCGGAGCCCCTGCAACTGCTCCTGGCCAAGGTCATGCGCTTTGAACGGTCAGTATGGGGCACCCCCTGGCACCTGGGCTGGGCTGGGCTGGGCTGGGCTGGGAGGAAGGACCCGGCTGAGAAGGCCATACAGGTCGGCCTTCTGTGGGGTGTCAGCCATTAGAAACTGTCTTGTCACTTCACTGTCACGCTCACCTTTATGACTGCTGTACACTTTACCTCATCCATTTGTTGAGAATCCACCCAGAATTAAGGAGTCACTGAATCTGAAGAGGATCTGGTTAGAACCTTGGAAAAGATCTAGTCTAAGTCCCTCATTTTTCAGATGAGACTGAGGTTCGGGTGGTGGGGGTGGTGAATGACCCCTCCTAGTTCACCCAGAAGATAAGTAGGAGGGCTAAGACTCAAGGCCCGGCCCTAAATTCCAGAAGGGATCACAGATGACGTACTACATTCAGGTAGGAACAACTAGGGCAAAGGTCTTTGAATTTGGATGAAAAAAAAATTCTATCTTCATTTTCATTATCTCTGAAATTTATCATTTCCTTTAGTCATGAATGTAGCTAACAAACCATCTAGTATTAGCCATTCCTATGACTTTTTTTACCAAAAGAAATTACAGATATTTTCACATATTCAAGTTGTTGCAGATTTCTCAAAAAATAATTTATATTTATCACCTCTTTGAGATTATGGAAGTTATTAGATGTGCTGCTGGATCTTGTTTTCAGCACCTTAATAAGGAGGCACAGATATTGCTATATCACAAGCTTGGGTTTTTAAAAAAATTTATTACAAACTTGGGTTTTTGTTAACTATAATTTTGCTGTATTTTATTTTATGTACTTAAAACATTGTTCTGTGAAGGCTTCACCAGGTTGTCAATTGGTCCATGGCACAAAAAAAAAAAAAGAATTATGTAAATACTTTGTAGTAGAGAATTCTACAGGGTGCATGTGGAAATAGTTATTTCCAGACATTTCAGTGGTCTGAGGAGGGCAGCCTAGTGTAATATTTGAGGTAAGAACTGTCTTGAAAATTCGAGATATAAGGTCTTGTGTCCTGAAGCCTTCCTTATAGAGGTCACAGTCTAGAACATAATCGCAACGAATTACAGATTATGGCCCTTTATGACCCATGCAGGGTCCATTTCACAGATAATAAGCCAGGGTAGGGGAGGAGATAACCTTCCAGCTGGCTTGGCCAAGGGAATTTCACAGAAGAGGTGGCATTTGAACAGGTAGATTTGGCAGGTAGAACTGTAGACAGGGCATTCCAGGCAGAAGGAACCATCTGCTTTGTTCTAGCCCCGTGAAGAAGAGAGGGAATCACTGCTGTCTTAAAGTAAGTTCTGTAGCAGGCAGAATGGTGTCACTGCAAGAAAAAAAAAAAATCACAGGTCTAGACACTGGAATTTACTGCCCTGTCTGCCCTGGTGTGACAAAGCCACTTAACCTTTCTGAGCCTAGTATCTTCATGAGTGAAATGAGGATAATAATATGAATTTTTATAGGTGTTTTGTGAACATCAGGAGGTGATTGTTAAAGCCTTCTGCTAGCTGCTGATTATTTCTGGGACTGGGAATTAGCAGATTTGATAGGATTCTTCCACTCACAAGTGACAGAAAACTCAGCCTAAGGAAATGCATTGGTGGCCCATGTATCTGAAAAGTCCTGGAATAGTTCTCCAGCTTTAGGTTCAGCTGGATTCAGGGGCTCAGTGTCACCAGGACTCTGCGTCTGTGTCTACTTCTTTCCATCTCTTGGCACTTCTTTTGCATAACGCAGCTTATGCAAATATAAGAAGAGTGTCTGGCTGAGACTGCTTTCATGGTGGTGAGATGACTGCAACAACCACAGCTCCAGACTTCCATTTTGCACCATTCAGTCCATTGGGAAAGAGAAACTGCCTCTTCCCAGTCAAGTCAGAGCCTTGGATTAGTTCTTTCTGAACCAGATTGACCTCACTTGAATCACCACTGAGCAAGTGATGTTCTGGTTATTCAAGAAAAGGTGTTTCCCCCAAAGTAAAATCAGGGTGCAGTTAATGGAAAAAGATGACCAGATGCTTGGCAGGGACAGCAACAGATATCTGCGGTAGAAGATCTGGGTTCTAGTGCTGACTCAAGTGTAAGTCACTTGCGGCCTTCAGCAAACCTTGGGTTCCCTGGGACCCTCTTTCCTCACCCCTCAAAATGTAGGTTGAATTAGATGGTCTCTGAGAGTCTACCCTGGAATGAAGGCTGACTTGTGTTTTCTTGTCCCCAAAGTCTAACTTCCTGGCTGAGTATGCCTGCCTTATCCCATCTGGTCATTGTCATCTGGGCCATCTCCTTTTTCTTACCTAGATGAAGCCTCTGGTTTGTACACTGCCCTCTCTAATGGAGCTTACTGTTACTTCTTGGAATATACTAGGCTTCCAGCCACCTCTCTGCCTTTGGACATAGCGGACCCTCTGCCTGGGATGCTCTTCCATATCTCTGTCCACCTGGATGACCCCAGCCACCATCCTAGAGCCCTCTCTGGCCTTCCTAAATTGGGCTAAATGCCCTTTCTCCTTGCTTCTGAATGAGCCTGTGCTTTACTTCTCTTAAAGCATTTCTAAACCTTATTTACTTCCTGTACTTAACCATTATTTTGAGAACAAAATTTGTATCCTTTATCACTGTGTCTGATAGACACAGTTGGTATTTGTTTTTATTGAATGAATGAAGGAAATGAACAAATATTAAAAGAAGTGAGATTTGAACTTGCATTTGAAATATAGAAACTATCCTCCTCTGAGCTTAAGAATCAACTCTCAGTTTGCTATGAACCTGGGCACTTCTGCCTTAAAGGTTCCCAGTTGGGTAGTGAGCTGTTGGGGATCAAATAAAACCATTTATCCATCTCTTTCTAGGTATATTCATCTGCATTTTACAGATAAGAGAACTAGCCCAGAGAGGGGATATGAGTTACCCAGTGTCACACAGCTAGGGGCAGAACTAGGATTTGGATCCTGGTGACTCTAAAGCCAGTGCTTTTAATATTAACTACTCATTCAGTCATCAGCATTTGTTCATTCACTTATTCAACGATCTTTTATTGAGCATTTTCTTACATGCCTACGCAAACTGACAAAGGTTCTGCTCTCCAGAAGCTTCAGTCTAATGGAGACAGGAAACTGTATAAATGTTAGTGAAGAGGTCAAGCTTGATGGGGCTGGAGCCGCGCTGTTCTGAGGTTCCTTCTAGTCCTGGTCTGTGCTTTAATACTCCAGAGCAAAGAGCACAGCCATCCACATCTCCTCCCAGCAGGGCACAGGCTCCGTCTGCTACCAGGTCAGCTGGCCGTGGTCTTTCCCCAGGTTTGGTCGCAGGCGTGTGATCATCAAGAAGGGCCAGAGGGGCAGCAGCTTTTATTTTATCTACTTGGGCACAGTCGCAGTGACTGAGGATGAGGATGGCAGCAGCGCCTTCCTGGATCCCCACCCGAAGTTGCTGCGAAAGGGCAGCTATTTTGGGGTAAGCAGTGAGGAAGGGTCTGCCTTCCTGGGGTGGGGGTAGGGGTATGACAGGACTCCTGCTGGAACCTCTAGGCCAGGCCCAGTCCTGCCTTTTTCTCTCTGCAAGTCACTGCCCTGTTGTAGGGCCTAGAGCCCTTACCTGTCAAATGCTGATTGCGTTTGACCTGGTGATGTCCATGTCCGGTTGCTTCATCAGTGATGTTTAAGGAGTACATTCCCTCTCTAACCCCTTAGAGATACAGCGACTCCCCAGCGAGGCCTCTCCAGTGTCCTCTCTCTGGCCTGGTCAAGCCTGTTGCCTCTTTGTCCACATGCAGCTTGTTAGGAGGGAGGAGAGTGGGCCCACGGAAGGGGGGAATGAGCAGGGACATAGGATGGGCCAGGGAACCTGCAGTCCCAGGAGGAGTGATTTCCAGGGTGAGATGGAAGCAGGGAAGAGGTGTTCAAAGCTGCAGGCAGAAAGCTCGAGGTGGCCTCTCACTTGCCTTTGCCCCTGTCCACCCAACAGGAAATGGGCCTTCTAACTTCAGTAAGGAGGGCCACCGTGGTCTGTATGGAAGAAACAGAGTTTTTGGTTGTTGACAGAGAAGATTTCCTTGCTAATAAACTGGACCAAGAAGTTAAAAAGGATGCTCAGCATCGGTTTGAGTTTTTTAGGTAACTTCATCAGCCAGAATCGCCCCTCTGTGTGTTTTTTGGGTGCTGGTGGGAAACGCTCAGTCCTGTTCTCTCTGCCTGGAATGCTCTTCTGTACCCACCTCCCACCCAACTTCTCTGTCTAGCAAAATCCTACTGTACCTTCAGATCTCAGCTCAAATACCCCTTCTGTGTGGGATAGTAACTATAGAATAGCTAACATGCACTGAGTACTTGCTGGACCAGGCAGGGTGCGAAACCCTTGTACCACCCATTTATTTAATCTCACATTCAATCCCATGATGTTGTTTTTCTTATTCTCTCAGTTTATAATGAGGGGACCAAGGCTCAGGATGGTGATGTGCCCAGAATGATTCAGAAGTTCCTGGCCCTCATCTCACTAACCAAGTCTACCTACCCTCACCACTCAAGAGAGGTGTCCCCTCAATGCTTCTGTCACCCTCTGTGTTTCCTTAAAGCCCTGTCCAAACTGTCATTCTTGATAACATAATTCTTCCTTTACAGGTTATCTGCGCCATCAGACAGTAAGCAATATGGTGGTCAGCACAGATCTGCCTGTTTCACCATCATAATCCCCATGTTGTCACAGTGTCAGGCACAGGCAGGTGCTCATGTAATCATCTTTAGTTACTCACCTTTAGAAAGAGAGTGAAAATCAAGTAAAGTATCTGCACTGGCACTGAAAATACAAGGTTGTAGGGCTGCACGGCCTTAGAGAAGCCCGATGAGCCGAGGGATCAGGTCCCCATGGGCTGGAGCTGGAGGAGAGTGATCTGTGTGAAGGGACTGCAGCCCGAAAAGGGGGGACTGAGTCCTGAAGGGAGGGGCAGTTCATCTTTTTATACATGGGAAAAAATAGGGCTGTGTTCTAATCTCAGCTGTTAGGCTTATCAGCCATGGGACCCTAGATAGGTCACCTCATTGCTCTGGGCTTTGATCTCCTGCCCTGTAAAATGGAGATAGTGCTCCCTCTCTCCTGAGGTCATTGTAAGGATTGAATGAGATGATCATGGGAAGTGTGTGGCCCAGTCTTGGCCCAGTAGGTTTTCCTTCTGCGGGGGCCTTGCTCTCCTCCTGTGTCTTAAAACTCTTCTCTTTGGACCTGGCACCAGCCCTGTTCCCCTTTGATGCCCTGGACAGAACTCAGTGCCTTCTGACCCAACCCAGGTTGAAGTCTGAGTCACCTGAGTTCTGAGCTATTACTCTGTTGCAGCTAAGAGGGCCTAAGATGATATTACCAGCCCCATGGGGCCACATATGAGGGAAGCCTAGCCTACGATTGGTGGTGTATGAGGTTCGAGGTCAGGGAGGGGGTGGTTACTGAGGCTAGGCCTTCCACCACAAGACACAAACATGCAAAAAGGGGAAAGGCCAGGCTTCCCTGATTCCCAGAGCCAGGCCTGCATCTTTGAAGCCAATAGGCTGGAGGAGACAGGGGTTGGAATGAGCTGTCCAAACCAAAGGTGGCCAGGACTGCTGGCTTGAGGGCCAGAGTAGCCAGAGAGCTGAAGTGAGGAACTTCCTTGGAATGGAAATAGCTTAGTGATAGCAAGGCTGGCAGGGGAGTCAGCCGGGAAGGCGCCCGAGTGAGGAGCAGAGGTGAGAGAAGTGCAGCCCCAGGTGTATTTGAGGTGAGCAGAGGGGAGCAACTGGAGGGGAGAAGAGGGCAGGGGAGCAAAGGTGACAAGTGACAGGAGACCGGCTGCAGTCTAGGCCAGCGACCAGAGGGTGTGTCAGATCTTCCACCTCAGGCCTTTGCAAGAGCAAGCACACATTCCCTTTTTGGAAATGGCTAAGTGCTGGGCACCTCCTGGGGACGGAGGGCAATGAAGTCTAACAGGCTTTTCCCCTCAGGAAGATGGATCTGTTTCACTCCTGGTCCGATGAGAAGCTCTGGAAGCTTGTCATGCTGGGAAAGGTAGAGAAATTCTCGTACGGGCAGGTGATCTCAAAGGACTTTGTCGAGTCGTCCTCCATCATGTTTGTCTGTCAGGTAGGAGGTCTGGGGTGGGGGCAGTGAAGCTGGGAAGAGCATCCTAATCTAACGTCCTGTGGCCAGATGACCAGACTGAGCCCTGGTCTGCACACGTCCTTTTCTGAGCGTCTTTGTCCTACTTATAAAAGGCCACCTCTCTCACAAGGTTGCTGTGAACTTTAAGATATAGAGCTGTTAGATTAGAAAGAGGGCCGTGGTGGGTGCCCCATCCTTGAGCTCATATACATGTTTATTTATAAACAGATACATATTTTTCAATTATTCATTTGGCTTTTGAATTTTAATAATGCCAGATCACTTTTCAAAATTATAATCTTTAAATTGTAAAAGTGATATGACCAGATTACAGACTTTCCAAGAAGAGGGGAAAATCACCCATAAACGTATCACCTCAGAATAGATTTTCAAAAGTAGAATTGCTTGGAATCATCATCTTTGTGACTCTTGGCACAGATTGCTTTCCAGAAGGAGCGATTCACTGTATCTAGCTCCCAGAAACATACAGCTTTGCTGGTGCCACCAACCTCTACGAGGCCTGCCACTCATTCTTTCAAAAGTTCTAAAATTTAATAGGTGGCAATGAATACCTCATTGAGGATTTTTTTTTCCTGATTACTAGTGAGATTAATCCTGTTTGTTTACTATCTAAATTTTGTGTTTTGAGAATTGCTTTATGTCCTTTACCAACTTCTCTGTTGGTTGATAATGAAAAGAAAAATTAGCATTTATTGAGTGCTTACTGTGTACCCAAAGGAGACTGGTATTGTGATTATTCCCTTTTTACAGAGGTGGAAAGGAAGGTTAAGTGGCCTGTCCAAGGGGCAGAGGCATAGTTCAACCCAGGTCTGTCTTACTCCAGAGCTCTTCTTCCCAGGAGGTGGGACTGGGGATTTGAATTGACCTTTCTGTCCATTGTTGACTCTGCTCAGACCCTGAGTACTTCCTCTTCCTCTTCTTCCTCTTCCTTCTCCTCTTCCTCCTCTTCTTCTTCTTCCTCCTCTTCTTCCTATTCTTCTTCCTCCTCTTCTTCTCCTTCTTCTTCTCCTTCTTCTTCTTCCTCCTCTTCCTCTTCTTCTCCTCCTCCTCCCCATCCTCCTTCTTCTCCTTCTCCTCTTCCTCCCCCCCTTCTTTCTTCCTCCTCCTCCTCCTCCTCATCAAAGAGCTACCATTTTTTTTGAGGCCCTTTGCTCTTGTGCTAGGAGTTCCACTAGCATCATTAATCTTTTTAAATTTATTTTGGAATAGGTAGTACTTCACCTGGTTCAAAATTCAAAAGGTTCACAAGAGTGATGAGGCTCCCTCTCACCCCTTTCCCCCAGAGTTTCCTCCCCGGAGACAACCACCATCACCAGTTTCTTGTGTCACTGTCCTTTACATATTCTTTGTTTATGTAGGCAAATGCATGTGAATATGTTTTTTCCCTTTTTTTCATAAATAGTGTCACCTTATACAGACTGTTCTGCACTTTGCTGTTTCATTTAAGAATATCTGTGTAGATTATTCCCTATCAGTACATAAAGAACTCATTCAACTTTTCTTTCTTTCTTTCTTTCTTTTTTTTTTTTGACTATTTGTGTAGTATTTTACTGTATGGTTGTACTTTAATTTATCTAACCAGTTCCATAATTGATGGATATTTAGGTTGTCTCACTCTTTTGCTATTTCAAACACTGTTTCGATGAATAACTGTACATAGTACCATTCCACCATAAATCTTCACCCTAGCTCTACCAGGAAGATATTCCAAGTTTACAGATGAGGACGTTGAAGCTAAGATACCTTAAGAGAAAGGGCACCCATCTTGTAAGTGGCAGAGCCAGAATTCTATCCCCAAACTTAGCATCTCCCGTGTACCTGTTGCTTACATGTTAAGCCACCAGAGACATTTGCTGAGTATTTGCCAAGGTCATGACACATTGGTTCAGGCTCTGGAGGGATACAGAGATAGAAAAGACTGGTTCTCTTTCCTTGTATATCTTCTCCACTAGATTCCGAGCATAGATAAACAACGTTGCCAATGCTAACTAACAAGTGACTAGTGCAAACTCTGCAAATTACAAGAATTCAGGCAGGGAACTTTCTAAAGGCTGAAGGCTTTAAGGAAAGCTTCCTGGAGGAGGTAACGTGGGAAATGAGCCTTGAAGTATTGGCTCCTTAGACAAAAGGAGGGAGCAGGATTGGTTTTGTGCTGAAACTGGCTCTTCCTGTCCTGAGAGAGCTGATTGTTAAGTTTTCAAGAATTTTTCAAGTCAATAAACACAATAATTATTAAAAATTAAATTATATACACCTGCAATTAAATACATTATCTTGAAAGCAAGGGTAATAAAAACTGAAAAACTTATCATTTCCTAATGGTGTTATTGTATTTTATTGTTATCTATGCTTTTGAGGTTACTTTTGTTTGTTGTATCTATACAGTAGAAATTGGTACCATTGTGCACATCTCCTCTCAGTGCCATGTTCAGTAACTTCTTATTGGCAGCTTAAATCAGCTATAGTGGGAGTATGTATACAATGGAAATCAGCAGACACTGTAAGTCAGATCTTGATTTACAGCTTTGCTGTTTGTCTTAAGAAGACTATAGAGAAAATGTTTATAATGCAGATTAAATTTGAAAGTGGGCTGGGTCCTTAACCATTGCATTGTAAAGAGAAGCAAATTAAGCAAACGTTTTTACAGTATTTAAAAATGATGCATCATAGATTCATCATAGAAGTTGCATCATTGATGAACAGGTGTAGTTCCAACATACACAGTGTTGAAGTCAAAATAGATTTCAATTAAATGAATATAATTTATATAAGATGAGAAATAGTTTCCCAGTAAATTACAAATCAGATTTAATAATATTAAATTTAATGGGAAAAGAGTGGATTGAGATGCAACTTCATTTGTCAAATCATGGTTGAATTGTGACTATAAATTGGTCACAGATACAAGAGCTCAGCCAAAGTCAGTAAAAGCATTCTGTGAGAATCGATTGGCTATATGGAATTTCCAATAACAGTATGGTATATTTTATCATCATTTATAAATTATGTGTAACACATCCTTCATAACAGTAAACTATTTAGACATGCATACATTTTACCCAAGAGTCAGTTTCAGCATCACCAGGGGTGTGTTTGTGTTGTTATTCTGGGTTCAGTCCCAGAGAACAGTCAAGTCCAGCTAATATAAGCAGAAAGGGATTTACTGCAGGATGTTAAATGGCTTACAGACTTACTGGTGATGAAGAGGCTTGAAGACACAGACTCTAGACTGAAAATGACTCCCAGAGGACTCCAAATCAGAGTCCAGAACTGGACTGTCACAGGTGATGCTGCTCCTGCCAACTTGAGTAAGCCAATTCTCCAGCCACTGTCTCTGCTGACAAAGTGAATGTCCTTCGGTTCCCAAACCAAGCCTTGCCCAAGTGCATCGGATTGCTGGAACCCAAATTACATCCAGAGCCTTAGCTGCAAGGGAGCTTGGGAAATGTAGTCTTTGGCTTCCAGCGTCTACACATTAACACTTGAAGGGGATTGAACATATAGGATCTGACCCTGAGGAGGGTGGAGATGAGGAGGGGAGTACTTTGCTGACGGAGTTAGAGAATCCTGATGTCCATGTGAGGAGGGGCGGGAGAGAGCCCAGAAGAGGAACAGGTAGTGGAGAGTCCTGAAGGCCAACCTGAATAATTTGCAGTTCCTTCTTCTTTCTGACATCTGCTTCCTCTTTCCTAGAATTTTGGGGTGATCACATCGAAAACCAAGAATGCCATGCGTCTGCAAATTTAACTCTGAGCTCTTTTGATAATATATAACCAGAAAAGATTGGGAAGGTGAATGGTGAGGGGTATACATTCAAGATTTCCTTTAATCAGCATACCAATTATATCCTGACTAGTGGAAAGTGCTTAATCTGGTTTAACCTTCATTTCTTCATCTGTAAAATGGAACTGTGTACTTACCTCATAAAGTCTGTGAGTGTAAGATTTAGTTTAGCACACACTTCCTCAATTCAGTCATCCTCTAATCCAGTGGTTCTCGGAGGTGGTCACTGGACCAGCAGCATCAGCATCACCTGGGAGCTTATTAAAAATGCATGTTCTTGGGGGGAGGGTATAGTTCAGTGGTAAAATGCGTGAGGTCCTGTGTTCGACCCCCAGTACCTCCATTAAAAGTAAATAACCCTAACCCTCCTCCCCTCCCCCAAACTGCAAAATTTTCAAATCTAAGAACTGTTAAACCCAAAACTCTGGGAGGAGGAGGCTTAGTAATCTGTGTGCTGACAGTTCTGACATCTGCTTCCAGGTGATTCTGAATTGCACTGACGTTGGAGAACCCTGATCTAAGGGAAGAGTTTTCAAATCTTGGTAAGCCTAAGGAACACCTAGGGTGCTTCTTAAAAAGGCAGATTTCTTCCTTGCCCCAGAGATTCTACTTCATTAACTCTGGAAATCTGCATTTGAATAAGCATCATAGGCGAATTCTAATGTTTGAACTTCATTCTGAGAAAAATAATACAGATGTCACAAAGTGTCACTTTGTGTGCAGGTAGAGGGCCTCCTCACTAGCAGCTGAATTTGGTTTGTCCCTTCTAGTGTTTTGTTAAAAGCATATTTAATCATTAATGTGAAGATTCTATATAAAAATTTTAATTTCTGGCAATACCAGGCCGTATTCTGGTGTGGCCCCCTCTGGCTGGAGTTAGCACCTGCCACTTCTAAAGGGACTGCTGTTTTTTCTCATTTTTATTCCTCACCAGGCCAGCTGCTAAAACATTCATCTTAAAAGCAGTTGTCCCCACTCCTGTAGTTTACTCATATTGCCACTAGAGGGAGAAATCAGCAGCAGGTGGCTGGGTGTCCTTGGGACCCTGGAAAGTTGGAGAACATGATTTCTCGCTGGCATTGCAGACATAATTAATGCCCATAATCAACTCGTTTTGAACAGGTTATCATTTGAGGACACATGGTGAAATTGCTTTCTCCACAGATACAGATGTGATTAAAGACCCATGAGGGGCAGAGAAAACTGTTCACATGTATTTCTCTAGAACCTTTAGTTCCTGGTGGATAAATGTTTGTTGAATGAATGTTAACTAAAGCTCCTAGCATGATGCCTAGAATATAATAAGGGCTTATTAAATGTTTGATCTCTTCTCCTTCCCCTTCAAGTGTAATCTATCTTGAACCTTAGCCCTTTATAACATGTCTCTTAGATTTCCTACTGAAAAAGGGTAAGATTTTATAAGGATATGAAATAAGAAAAATGACATGTCTTTCTTGCCTCTCAGACTAGGAAAGATTAAAAGGATTGTGAAAACCCAATTGTCAGTGTAATAACAAAGATGTATTTCAACAGGTTCTCTTATGCACTGTTGGAGAGACTGTAAACTGGTCTAACCTTTCTGGAGGGCCATTTGGCAATATGTATCAAAACTTAAAACATGTATAATACCTTTAGAAATTAATCACAAGGAGATAATCAAGCATAGGTATTATATTAGGATTAACTGGATTATGCTGCAATTATTTTAAAAATCTCAGTGGATTAACAAAGATTTATTCTTTCCTCCTACTGCCTGGTCATAGCAGGTTAGCAGGAGGCCTTACTCCTTATGATCACTCGGTGACTTAGGTCACATGGAGGCATGGGCCACTCTTGACCCATGATTCCATGATCAATAGACAGAAGAAGGTAATACTGAGAGTCAAGTACTAGCTTTTAAAGTTTCCACCCAGAATATTACAAGTCACTTTGCTGAGGAAATTGGCCAAAGGAAGTAAGAAGGCCATGCCTAATTGAAAGGGTGGAAAAGTAGAAGCCTGCCGTGTGCCTGGGAGGGAAACTCTAGTACTTGTGAACTGCCTTAATGACCATTGTGGGCATTAAGATGTAGGTACAAGGTTATCAGTTAAAGTTGCTGTTCACTGCAGCTCACAGTATTAAGTAATAGTCTCAAATTAAGCAATCCAGGGCCAGAACAGCTGTCCTAGGATGTTATCAAGAACCCGAACCCCTTCTAGCTTCTGCTTTCATCATCCACAGTTATGGCTTTCATCTTAATGATCACAATATGGCTGTTCCAACTCTAGTCTTCACATCTTAGTTTCAGGCAGAGGGTAGGGGGAAGGACAGCCATCGCTTTCCTGGGAGCTTTATCCATCAGTCTTCCACTTAGATCTCACTGGCCAGAATTGGGTCACTGCCACCCCCATTGTAGGAAAGTTTGGGAAGGTGGTGAGTTTTTAACTGAGGATTTTGCTGTCATGAACAAAACCAGAGTTATATGTAATACTGGCAAATTAGAAACAACCAAATATTAATCTTTAGAAGTGTTTTCTTGAGGTTTAACATGTATGCAATGAAGACCTCAAATCTAAACGTTACAGCTTGATGAATTTTTACATATGTATACCCCTGTATAAGCATCACCCAAATCATGATAGAGAACATTTTCAGCACCTCAGAAGGCTCCCTTATATCCTTTTCCAGGCAGAATCCCCCACCAAGGTAACCAACCACTCTTCTGACTTCTGTCATCACAGATTACCTTTGCCTATTCTTTAACTTCATGTAAATGGAATCATACAGTATGTGCTCTTTGTGTCTGACTTCTTTGCTCAACTGAATATTTTTTAAAATTTTATATAAATTATGGCATGCATAGAATAATATAGTCATTAAAAACAATTACATAATAGATAAACAAGATTATACTGTATAGCACAGAGAAATATATACAAGATCTTATGGTAGCTCACAGCAAAAAAAATGTGACAATGAATACATGTATGTTCATGTATAATTGAAAAATTGTGCTCTACACTGGAATTTGACACAACATTGTAAAATGACTATAACTCAATAAAAAAAAGTTAAAAAAAAAGAAGTAAAACTGTTAAAAAAAACCCCATAGAACCATACTGCTTGGCATAAAAAGATGTCCTTGATATATTATTGAGCTTTTCAAAAAGTTACAAGAGTCTGTTTTACATAAAAGGACTCATTTGTAAAAAATTGTGTATATACATCTTATATGCTTATAGAGAAATGTTTGAAATAATGTTCACCAAAACGTTACTACTTGTTATTTCTGGGTGTTAGGATTAACATAGTTTTAACTTTCTGTATGTTCTTCTTGGCTTGAATATTCTTTAAACTTTTAATTTTGGAATGATTTTAAATTTATAGAGAATTTGCAAGAACAGTACAAAGAACTCCTATATAACCTTAACCTGGATTCAACAATTGTCAGCATTGTGCCACATTTGCTTTAATACATGTTTTCGATTTTTTCCTGCCTGAATCATTTGAGAGTTGTGTCATTCATCATACCCATTTACCCCTGTATACTTAAGGGATTATTTTCTAAGATCAGGAATTAACCACAGAATAATTATTGAAATCCAAGAATTTAACATTGATATTATAATATGTAATCTACAATCCATAATCACTTTCACCATTTGTCCCAATAACGTCCTCAATGGTGTGTTTTTTTTTTTCAGTTCTCATGCCTCTTTAGCTATTTGAATTTTTGTAATGAGTAGATAACATTTTCATTTTAAAAAAGCCACTTGCATTAAGCAAGTAAAACAAAAGAGAGCTTGTCTTCTAAACCTGGCGTGCTTGGAGCTGGGGTTAATCCTTCTGCTCGTGTCCCTTGATGCATCCAGGGCAGCTGTGAAGTCCTGCGGCTGATAAACCTTGAGACTTCGCCTTTCTACCACAAGTGGATCTGGCAGCACCTGCAGCTGGTGGATGACAGGCCTTCCAACACCCACCTCAAGGGTAAGCAGACGTCCACACTTGGCAGCTGGCAGCATGGCAGGGGGCACCTGGTCCCATTGGTCCCCAGTGTCCAGCTCACAGAATCTTAGACACCTTGAGCTAGAAAGGCCTGGAAGGTTGTCTGGTTCCATCCCTTCCTGTACCAGCTGTGGAAACCGGGTCCACACGGCCCTGCCAGGTGAGGCACCTGTCCACCTCTGCAGCTCTTTCTAGCCTTTCCCCTTTGCTTCAGGTTCTCCTAGGGAGGAGGGTGGAAGAGAGCTTGGAGCTAGATAGAGCAGGTTTGAATCCCACTAATTATCAGGGAGGCTGGTGAGTAGGCAGGCCTCTGGGCCTGGTTTCGTAGGGTCTGTAGCTGTGTGTCACGGTTAAGAGCGTAGGCCCAGGGGCTAAACTATGTTTGAAACTAGGGTCCTTTCTTCATACCTGTGTGATACTACACCAATGATTCTGTGTCCCTGCACACCGATGCCCTCAGAGACTACAAAATGTGATTCATGGTCCCTACCTCATTGGCTTGTCACAAAATTAAGCAAATGAGTATATAAAGCTCTTAGAACACTACGTAGCTGCCTTAGTGTATAGTAGCTGTTCAATGTCGTTACCACGCAGGCTACTAGGAAGGCTGACTGAGGTCGTATGTGCACAGGGCCTGGTGGGTGCTCAGTAAATTTCACTTCTCTTCCCATGTCAGTTCTTTTTTTTCTCTTTTTTACTGCCAATCTACCAGAGGATTGGCATCCCACACATTTTTCCCCCAATTTATTTTTATTGTGGCAAAATATACATAACATAAAATTTACTATCTTAACCGTTTTTAAGCACACAGTTCAGTGATATTAAATACATTCTTTTTTTCCCCTGCCTTCTTTTGGATTATTTTGTATGGTTCCATTTTATTTTTTTGTTGGCTTATTAGCTATAATTCTTTACCATATTATTTTAGTGGTTGTTTTATGGTTTGCTGTATATACATTTAACTCTCCACAGTCTCCCTTCACATGATATTGTCACTTCACGTATAGAATCAGAACCTTACGATATACTTCCATTTCTCCCCTCAGATTTTGTGCTATTGTTATATATTCGACACTGTGTTAAAAACCTTAGAATGCATCATTATCACTTTTGCTTTTAAATATATTTATGAATTTGTTTGTTTTTGAAGTATGATTGATTTACAGCACTATGTTATTTCCTAGTACACAACATAGTGATTCAATATTTCTGTACATTACACAGTGATCACCACTACCCTGCCCTAGCTGGTTTAATTTTTTTCAGTAGTTATAAGCAATTTGATTACATTGGGCTTTGGTAGATTTTTCATCATGTTTCTGTTGAGGTTCATTGAGTTTCTTGGATCTTTGGATTTATATTTTTCATCAGATTTGGAATTTTTTGACCACTTTTTCAAGACTTTTTCTATCTTTCCTTCTTTCTCCTCCACTTTGGGGACTCCAATCACTGTAAATTGGACTGCTTGAGATTGTTTCACTGATGCTCTATTAATTTTTTTTTAATCTTTCTTCTCTCTGTCTTTTTGGATAATTTTTATTGCTGTGTCTTTAGGTTCACTAGTCTTCTGCATTTTTTAATCTGCTATTTATCCCATGTAGTGTATTTTTCATTTCAGACCCTGCAGTTTTCATATCTAGAAGTTTGATTTGGGTCTTTTTTGTAATTTCCATGTCTCTGCTTAATACATACAAAATTTCCTCTTTGGAATACAATTATAATAACTGTTTTAATGTCCTTATACACTAATTATGTCATCTGTGTCATTTTTGGGTCAGTGCAACTCATCATTTTTTTCTCTTTATGTGGTTCATATTTTCCTACTTGTTTACATGGTTGGTAATTTTTCACAGAATGCTAGAAACTGAGTTTTGGGTGTTGCATATTTTTAAATTCCTGTTACTATTTCTGAGATTTATTCTGGGATGCAGTTAAGTTACTTGGAAATGTTTTAATCTTTTGAAGACTAGCTTATAGGCTTTGGTAGGTGAGATCAGAGCAGTGTTTAACCTAGAGCTAGTTTTGTTCCATTCATGAGACAAAATCATTTTGAGTATTCCTCAGTGCCCCATGGCTTGTGAGGCTTTCCATTCTAGCTGTTGGGAATAGGAACTATTTCTGGTCCTGTGTGAACTCTGATGATTTATCCCTCTAATCATTTTGGGTGGTTCTTCCCCTGGCCATGGGTAGTATTTTAGTCTCTATTACTGTGTAACAAATTATCCCAGAATTTAGTGACTTAAACGGTACATATTATCTCTCAGTTTCTGTTGGGGGTCGGAAATTTGAGCCTGGCTTAGCCAGGTGCCTCTGGCTCAAGTTCTTTATGAGGTTGCAGCTGTCTGCCAGGAATGTGGTTTCATCTGAAGACTCAACTGAGAGGAAGCCACTTTCAAGCTCACTTGCATGGCTGTTTGCAAACCTTAGTCCCTCACCTTGTGGGTATCTCTTCGGGGCTGTTTTATGACATGGCAGCTTTCTTCCCCAGCAGTGAGAGAGAGCGACACAGGGTATATACCCAGGGCGGAAGCCACCGTCTTTTTTTTTTTTTCCCCTCCCCTCCTCACCGTCTTTTTAACCTAATCTCAAAAGTGGCATCCATCACTGCTGCTATATTCTATTTGTTAGAATCAAGTCCAACCCACACTTAATGGGAGGATAGTTCACAAATGTGTGGCCATCAGGTGGTGGGGATCACCGAGGGCCATCTTAGGGCTGCCTACCACTGGTGGTTCCCTAACATCATACCTATGCTGCTCGGTACTCAGCTGAGACGAAAGCAGTCCATCAGATCTTCAGAGTTCTCTCTGTGTGCAGCTCTGTGAACCCTAGCTGCCTTGTCCTCCCTGGACACTCAGTTCTGTCATTAATTCAGAGAGATTGCTGGGCTCCTCCTGGGTTCCCCTTTCTTGCACTACTGCCCAGAAAGTCTCCAGGCAGTGGGCTGGGGCAGTGACAGGGATCACCCCATTTGTTTTCTGTCCTGCAGGGATAAGTGTTCTTCGTGGCCTGATGCCCAATGTCTTGAAAACCATTTTTTCATATATTTGTACCAGCATTTTATTACTTTCAGGTGGAAGAGTAATCTAGGCCCTGTTATTCCATTTGGCAAGAAGCAGAAGTCTAAATCTATGTTTCTTTCTTTTTTTATTGAAGTGTAATTGATTTACAATGTTGTGTTAGTTTCTGGTGTATAGCATGTACATATACATATACATGTATATACATATATATGTTCTTTTTCATATTCTTTTTCACTATATAGGTTATTATAAGATATTGAATATAGTTCTCTCTGCTATACAGTAGGACCTTGTTGTTTATTCATTTTATATATAGTAGTTTGTATCTGCTAATCCTAAAGTCTTAATTTATCCCTCCCCCACCTTTTTCCCTTTGGTGACCATAAATTTGTTTTCTGTCTGTGAGTATGTTTCTGTTTTTATATTAACAGGCTCAAATTTTAATAATTTTTTTATATTCCATACATAAGTGATACAATATGATATTTGTGTTTTTCTTTCTGACTTCACTTAGTGTGATAATCTCTAGGTCCATCCTTGTTGCTGCAAATGACATTATTTCATTCTTTTTTATGGCCGAATAGTATTCCATTGTATGTATGTATCTAGACATACACACAATCTTCTTTGTCCAATTCCATCTGTTGATGAACATTTAAGTTGCTTCCATGTGTTGGCTATAATTGTAAGTAGTGTTGCTATGAATATTGGGGTGAATGTATTTTTTCAAATTAGAATTTTCTCCAGAAATATGCCCAGGAGTAGGATTGCTAGATAATATGGTAACTCTACTTTCAGTTTTTTAAGGAATCGCCATACTGTTTTCCATATTGGCTGCACAAAATTACATTTTCATCAACAGTGTAAGAGGGTTCCCTTTTCTTCACACCCTCTCCAGCATTTATCATTTGTGGACTTTTTAATGATGGCCATTCTGACTGGTGTGAGGTGATACCTCATTGTAGTTTTGATTTACATTTCTCTGATAATCAGCAATATTGAGCATCTTGTCATGTGTCTATTGGCCATCTATATGTCTTCTTTGGAGAAATGTCTATTTAGGTCTTCTGCCCATTTTTTGATTGAGTTGTATGAGCTATTTGTATATTCTGGAAGGTAAGCCCTGCCAGTCACAACATTTGCAAATATTTTCTCACAGTCCATAGGTTGTTTTTTCATTTTGTTTATGATCTATGTTTCTTAATAGATGAGGGTTTTTTTTTGTATGGATGTACCGTAATTAAACCAATAATCTTTTATGGATATTGTGGGTTATTTCCAGTTTTTCACTGTTACCTCACTGTGGTGAATTTCCTGATGTGCTTATCTTTGCATACTTCTGCAAGGAAACATATCAGATAAATTCTTACAATTACTAGATCAAGTAATTGGTCCAGTCTGTACTGACTATGCACTTTTAAAATGTTAATAAATATTGTTAAAATGCCTTCCAAGTAGGTTGTACTCATGGTTTTTTGTATGTGCTCTGTTCATCAAGGCCTACTCCTTGTGTAGTTTGAATTTATTTCTGTTAACATTAATTTTAATAGTTGATTCTAACACTGGAGATCTATTATAGAAATCAGTGGTATTGAGGTTTAATTTTCATACAATAAAAAATGCACACATTTAAAATGTGTAGTTCAATGAATTTTAACAAATTTATATCTGTTGTAACTACTACAGTCAAGTTGTAGAACATTTCTATCACCCCCAAAAGTTCTCTTCTACCCCTTCCCAGTCAATCTCTATCCTTCACCCCTGGCCCTAGGCAATCACTGCTCTGCCTTCTGTCACTCTAGGTTACATTTGTCTTTCCTATGGTTTCATGTGAATGGAACCTCATATGTGTCCTCATATGATTCCTCTGGCTCCTTTCACTCTGCATAGTATTTCTGAGTAGTATTCTCTTGGAGTTCTTTTTGGCAGCTCTCATAGGGGGCCTATTATGTGCTAGATATTGTGCTAGGCATAGCACATTTTATCTATAATTATTACAGTAGTCCTAGGAGGGTGCCTCAAGACTATGGGACTTGTCCAAGGTTCCATGGCTCTTCTTCCATTTATCTTTCATTGCTGCACCTGCCCCCAGTCCCAGTTTGAAAGCCCACATAAATGTGATCTGGTAGTGGAAAAACACGAGCTTTGAATTGGATAGGCCTTGTTCAAATCCAAGCTTCAGCCCTTTCCTGGGTGACTTAAACTCTGCTTCTCATTTTGTCTCTTAAATGAGGCTAATGACATTTGTCTGCATATAATGGATATAAAAGCTCTAGCTCAGGGCCTGGCACAGAAGGACAATACTTGGATGCCACACTTTTTCCTTTCTATTTTTCTTAATTTCCACATGCATCAGGTTAGCCAGGCAGGAGACTATGATATACCTCCGAGCACCACGACTGCAATCCTCATATATGCAAAGACCCATTAATGTGTTTTCTTATGCTTTCTCTAACAGATTTGTCTCCTGTGGAGAGATTTAAGGAATTCCAGATCAGAACATACCCTGTACAGGACTTTAGTTTAATGAAACTTCTGCATCTCCAGAAAGCCCAGGGGCAACAGGGATCCAGCTTCAGTAGGAAAATTAAAACTTCAGGAAATACTCTCCCAAAGACCTTGGGCTCAAAGATCAAGTAAGTTTTACTCTTGACGGATAGAAGATGTCCAGATTCTGGCTGAAAAGAAATATAAAACAACATTCAAGGCCGAATGTCAGGGATGCTGGGAAGGGAGGAGAGGTAGCAATTGGCTTGACCCCAAAGGTTGGGGTATGTGCAGAAGGCAGCCTAGAGAGGTCCTAGGTTTGATACCCAGGGGCTGCCTTCTCTGCCTCCAGCTTGGGGCCACATTAGATGGTCAGCTACTTCCTTTCTCAGGGAACCCATTTGAGGAAGAAGGAGCAGGACACATCTTTTGGTGATGACATTCTGTCTCTATCACTGGGCCTTTTTGACTCTGAGCTTCAGAAACTCAGAAGGGAAGCAGTAGGTAAGAGCTTTGGAGTCAGTTCAAGCCAGGCTCAAATCCAGGCTTGGCAGCTGATTTTAGCTGTGTGTCCCTGAGCAAGGGACTTGACCTCTCTAAGCCTTAGTTTCCTGATCTATAGATAACAGTATCTAAGTCTCGAGTTTGTTGTAAACCAGCAATTAAATGAGATAATGATGATTATAGCTAACACTGTTGGAATACTCTGTGCCTGGTACTGGGTGATCTGATGAAATCCTCACAACAACCCTATGGGGTAAGCACTGCTATTATCACTCCTATTTTCCTGGTGAGAAAACCAAGGTACAGAGAGAGATTGAGTTACTTGTTCCAGGTCACACAGATAGGAAGTGGCAGAGCCAGGATTCAAACCTGAGCAGCTTGTTAGTACTCAGTCTTGTTATCTGGTACTATCGTCATGACAGGAACAAAGTGGGTTCACAGTGAAGGCTGCACTCTGCCTTTCCCGGAGAGGAAGGGACACTTAGCAGGCACTGGCCTAGAGTCAGCTCAGCGCTGGGCCCAGAGCAGCATAACCTGCACCGCCCCCACCATTAAATATGAAATAAAAAAGATCACAGCAATGCTAATAATGACATCAGTGTCACAGTCTCCATGGTGCCCCAAGGACCGCTTCACTGGAATCCTTTGCTTATTACCATTTCCAGCCTGATTGTCGCCATAATGAGCACCCCATGATTGCTTTGCTGTTTTTCCCTCTGATGGATATTCTTTCCGAGGGATCCAGTGCTTGAAATTCCAATCCTAGTTCTTCTGAAAGTAGAGATGGAACAGACTTAGTTTCTCTGCTGTTAATCGGTAAGGAAAAAGGGGACAGTTTGGTCCCACCGTAAAAAAAATAAAGGACATATGCTTGGCATGTCCTTGGGGATGAGAATGAAAGCCTGCCTTGTGTATCTGTTAGGTGAATTCAGCTATGATTCAGCTGATAAATAATCTTTTCCCTGCCTCTAATCCAGGTAGCATACCGTGTCTTCCTTCCACCTAGCCTGAGACCAAAGAAAGCACAATAGGCTTGCCTGTGTAAAATGCACTCCAGCATGAACAGAGCAGAGTCTACTGACCTCCCAGGGAAATCTGTTTTTGTAAACAAATGAATAAACAAACAAAGCCATCTGTTCTCTACCTTCCTGTCAAGAAGAGCCCCAGCCTCTGCTGTGGCCCCAGGGGCACAGAGCTTACTCTTTCTCAAAGTAGTCTGTTCCACTTTCAGACAACTCTGACTTAGAAATCCCTTCCTCGTGTTGAGCAGTAAGTCAGCCGGCCTGAACTTACCCGTCAGGCCTGGCTCAGGTACATGAGATCCTCAGCTCCTTCTGCATGACAGCCTTCTGTTGTTTAAAGGGGTTCTGTGTCCTCTCGCAGGGCTTCTCCCAGTTAAACCTCTCCAATTCCTGACAGTCTCCCAGGGCTTGATTTTGAGTTTTCTCATTACCTGGGAGAAAAGAGGGCCGATCTCAGTATGCAGTAAAGTGGGGGCTGATTATCCAGGGCCTCATGAACTGGCTGTGGTACAAACGAGTTCTAACAAGTTGTCAAATTTCAGATCCAGGTGTCCTCATTTCATCGACTGTTCCATGATCAATACCAAGTATGGCGATCTCCCCAAGGAGGCTGCAGTAGGGGCCTACATGAAGATCCACACCGTGGAGCAAGGAGACATCTTGGTAGGTGTGCAGAGAGCCTTGTTCACGATAGAGTGTGTACCACCATGGGCTGGGGTGCTAGGTAATGAAAGTAAAGATTTAAAAACATCTTGCTCTAGAGTTGGTGATATTGAGGAATATTGTTGATTTTTAAAGATATGATAATGATATTGTGGTTATGTTTTTTGAGAGTCCTTTTTCTCGGGAGATACATAGCAAAATATTTACAGATAAAATGATTATAGCATCTGGGACTTGCTTTAAAATAGTCCAAGAACAAGGCAAAGATGTCCCCTCTGACCACTCCTATTTAACATTGTTTTGGGAGCCCTAGCTAGTGCATTAAGACAAGAAAAGGAAATAAAATACATAAGATTAGGAAGGAAAAAATGTAGCTCTCTTTGTTTGCTGGTGACGTGATGTCTCTACAGAAATTCCAAGGAATCAAAAACAACAACAATAACAAAGAACGAATAAAACCTCCTGAAGCTAATAGAGGATTATAGCAAGGTCACAGGGTATAAAGCAATGAACCTTTGAAAGCTGAAATAAAACACACAGTGCCATTTACAATGGCACCAAAAACTGAAATACTTAGTATAAATCTAACAAAATATGTTCAGGAGCTATATGCAGAAAACTTATGTAACTATAATGAAAGAATTAAAAGAAGATTTAAATGGAGAAATATCCTATGTTTATGGATTGGAAGACTCAAAAAAATTGTTAACATGTTAGTTTGTTCCAACTTGATGTATAGATTCAGTGCAATCCCAATCAAAATTCTAGCAAGTTATTTTGTGGATATTGACAAACTGATGCTAAAATTTATATGTAAAGTTCAACATAAACAAACTGGTAAATCCATACAATGAAATATTATTTGTCAGTAAAAAATTGGCTAGCAAGCCATGAAAAGACATGGGAAAATTAGATGAACATTTCTAAGAGAATAAAGCCAATATTAAGTATTATATGATTCCAATTATATAATATTCTGGAAAAGGCAAAAACGTGGAGATAATAAAATGGTCGCCAGAGGTTTGGAGTTCAGGGGGAGGGACAAGTAAGCAAAGCACAGTGAATTTTTAGGGCAATAAAATTACTCTATATGAGACAGTAATGGTGGATACAGAGCACTAAGTATTTGTCAGAACCCGTAGAACTTTACAGCTTAGAGTGAACCTTAATGTATGTAATTTGTAACAACAACAAAAAAATCAGGAGATGGGGAGAGGAATACCAGGAAGGAATGCAGACTGACAAGAGAATCTAGCAATGAAACAACCTCAGTGAAGAGGATGGGAGAAAAAGTTGCTGACCTAAGTAACTTCGGAGATGAGTGGAACCTCTAAGACTAAAAGCAAGAGGAGCTACACATGAGCATCGTACTCTGTGACAAAGTTTTTTCCATGAGTGTGTGAATTAACAGTTCTGACACTGCTATACATGTACACTGAAATGGATCAATTAAGTAATGAGTGGCAGAAGGTAGGAGCCAGGTTTTTCACTACTGGAGTGGAGATGTACAGATATGCGAGGGGAGGAGGCTAGAATGACGGTAATGGATTAGAGTTGCAGACATCAGGATGTACTCATGTTTAGCTTAATATAGATACAGATGGTCACATATAGAAACACTTATAGACATATGTATAAACATATATCTTTTGCTCTGTTAGCTGACAGGGCCTGAAAGAAATGGCACACCAGTAGCAGTGAGCACACCTAGAGCCCAGATCTTAGTTCCTAATACCATTCTTCGGTCAAAGAAACAAGGGTTCCCTGGGGAATGGTTAATTCTAGGACCACAGCAAGAAGTATACTAGATGACCCTGATGCATTTTGTAGTAGCAGGAAGTAATGACGTGTTGGGGAAAAAACCTTACATTTATGGGGACAGGCAAATCCAAGGAACACAGGGGCCAACTCGAAAGAGTTCCCAATTTCCAAAGCTGAAACAGTTTGAACAGTCTGAGCAAATGAAGTAGTATTGGATTGTTTAAGTGTAAAATAAACATCCGTGAGTATACACTGATATAATGCATAAATAATGAATAAATGGGAGTAGATACAAATCTCCCATGCAGAAGAATTCTAGATAATTTATGTAGGTACTCTGCCCTAAAAGAGATGGTGTATAACTCTAACCTTAGGTGTGGGCTGCACATAGTGACTTCCTTCCAAAGAATTAGGTATAGAAAGGAAGGAAAAAGAGTAATCTTCAATGGAAAACCCACTGAATGAGAAGTGCTTCCTCAGTCAGGTGATCAAGGCCAAGATCAACAGTAAGAAATCGTGTTGCTGTATGTCCCCTTAATATGAGATGATGAAAGTGGGATGTGATGTGAGGAAAATGGCATTCTACCTCTCTGGTCCTCTTCCCAATAACCCATAACCCCAGTTTAATCATGAGAAAAAAGTCAGACGTTCTCATAGTGGGTCATCCTATGAAACACCTGAGCAGTACTTCTCAAAACTGTCAAGATCATTATAAACAAGGTAATTCTGGGAAACTGCCAAAGCCAGGAAGAGCGTAAGGAGACATGATCATTAAATGTAATATTGTGTCCTGGATAGGATGGTGGAAGAGAAAAAGGACATTAGGTAAAGGCAGGAAATCTAAACAACCCATTGGCTTCAGTTATTGATAATCTACCCCTATTGGTTCATTAATTGTAACAAAGGTATCACACTAATGCAAGATGTTAACAGGAAATTGGGTGCCTGTACTATCTTCTCAATTTTTCTCTGAGTCTAAAACTGTTCTAGAAAAAACAGAGTCTATTAAAAAAATAATTATCCAATAGTGGAGGGGGATGTATGGGTGAAGCAGGTTTGGCCATAAGTTGACCACTGTGCTGGAGCTGGGTGGTAGGGTGGGTAGCATGGGGAGGGGATGTGCCTCAGTCTTCCTGGGGAGGTGCCATCTTCTGACGTCCTGTGTATGGTCATCATTGTCACCATGAATCTCCAGGGTCCTCTTCGCACCCCCTACCCCATGTTATGATGGGCCCTTAGTGCACCTGCTCTGCTGGGCTGTGCATCTTCGGAGGCAGGGAGGTCAGCCCAGTACCGTCCGGGAGCCCCAGGCCCTAGCCCAGCCCTCTGTCCATGCTGACTGAATATTTCCCAGCCTTCCTTTTGCTCTTCCTTTTGCTCAGTAAAACTCTGCCTCCTACAACTTTTAACTAGCTCTCCCCAATACCCCCTCCACCCTACCCACCCCCTTAAAAACAAACAGAAACCAGCTTCCTTGTCACATGATGGCCCCTTAGATATTCAAAGAATGCTGTTTTGTTTTTCATTCAGCGTTTATGGAGCCAGGCACAGTGCCAGTGTCCCATTAATTATTTTCCTATTCTGGGAAGACATTCCTCCATTCCTTCCGCCTTCACGGGATGTCGTTTCCAGCCTTCTCACTTCCGCTTCACTGCGGTTTCAGTGTTCAGAGTGAGATGCTCAGGACTGAACACAGACCACCTGAGGCCAGGCCCCAGCTGTGAATGCAGCCTCGTGTGCTGCCCGCCCATGGAGGAGCTGGGATGGTTGGCCTCCCAGGTAGAATGGAGGCACTACAGGGCAGGAGAGATGTTGCCTGGTCTGGAGAGGGTGACAGGAGTGGGAGGCTGTGTAAGATGGAACAAGAACAACAAGGACTTCGGACTTGATTCTCTTGGCAATCCTGTAAGACTCTGGGTGGGGGCTCAGAGCAAGGTCCTGACTGCCTCATTCACCAAACAGGGCCCAGGGCGTGGACCGCCCCCCACAGCTGCCCAAATATTCATTAACATGATTCTGTGGGAAAATGCCTACAATATGCTTCTGGTAAAGTCCTGTTCTCCCTGCTTTGAAGGCCCTGGCTTCACTCGCAGGAGAATGAATGGTAATAGCTATGACTGTATTCACTTGCCAGGATGTAGGAGTCATTCTCCTTGCCTTTGGAAGCAGGAGTGTAGAGCTGGGTCAGTGCTAAAACAGCAGAGTTTGGGGCTGGGAGTAAGGAGACCCGTGTTTAGAGCCAGGAGGTGTGGGGGAAGCAGCTTCTCCAGGGAACAGGCAGGCTGAGACCTCAGAAATGGCCAAGACTGGGCAGAGGAGCAGGGACAGGGCAGATAGACCCCTCCCATCTTTTAATTTTTGCTTCTAATTAGCTCTCTGTGTGGCCTTGGGCAAATCACTTTCTCTCTCTGAATCTGTGCCTTCATCAGAAAATGAGGACATTCACCTGGGGAACTGCCAGCTCTAATGTTGTGTGTCTCCGTTTGAACATTCACTCAGCGGGTCTTTCTTGAACATCTGTCATACTCCAAGCAGGGTCCAAGGTGCCAGTGTGGGCAAGAACACTGACATCATTCCTGCTCTTGTGGGTCTTGTGATCTAGTCTGGGGAAGTAAACAGATAACGTAGCAAACAAACAGCAAATTTTAAATTGCTGTTTGGAATGGAATAGAAAGCTGTGTTGGGGCAGGGTAGGCTTCTCAAATGAGTGGTCAAAGAAGGCTACTCTAAGGAGGTGCTGTTTCAGCTGAGACCTGAATGACAGAAAGAATAAGCTACAGACAGCCTGGGGGAAGAGTGTTCCAGACAGGAACAGCAGGTCAAGCCTGAGGCTGGAAGGAGCTTGGCACGTTGAGGATATGGGAAGGGAGGGCAGCATGGCTGGAACAGTGTAAAAAGGCAGGGAGCCTCATGAGGTTGAAATGGCTGAAGCCTTGGTGGCCACAGTGAGGAGTTTATTTTATCGTTGGTGCTTTGGGAAGCTATTTGAAGGGTGTAGGCAGAGAAAGGACGTGAGGCTGGCTGGGATGTGTGCGGTGGATGGGAGGTGGTTAACAGTGCCTGCTGGCAGTGAGGCCCTGGACAGATTGCTGGTTCAAACCCTGGCTCCACCACTGTCTGTCTTGTTAACCTTGGGCAAGTTAACCTTTTTGTGCCTCAGTTTCCTCAAAGTGTGAGATTAAAAGCATGGCCTCTAAAGACAGACTCAGCTGGCTTTATATCCTAGCTTTGTTGCTTCCATGCTGTGTGATGTTGGCCAAGTTTCTTAACCTCAGCAGCGTCCTCTGTAGTGATGATGATGATAGAGCTCACTTCCTGGGGTTCTTGTGAGGGTTATGTTAGTTAGTGTACAAGAAAGCTACCAGAGCGCCTGCAATGTAATAAATGCTCCTTAAACATTAGCTGGTGCTGTCATCACCATTGTCATCGTCATCATCATTGTTATTGTAATTATAGGGTACATGACCTTTGATGAGGAAATTTCCTTTTCGGAACATCGTTTTACAGTCTGAAGATGGTAATCCCATATCCTCGGGCGGTGGTGAGGGTTATGTTTATGTAGTATTTTTGCCACACGGTAGGAGCAGCCACTCGGGTTTCTGTGCAAGGCCTGGCGCTGGTTGGAAAGGCCTTCATGCCCATCATACTGAGCACAGCTAACATGTGAGGTGTTTCACTTCTCCCACAATGTCCTCACACATGTCGTCTTGTTTGGACCTTCAATAGCTTCATAAGAAAGATAACAAGAAGAGACAAGGCCATGGCTTAGAGTACTGAATAGTCTTCAGATGGTCATTCTTCCAGGTCTAGAACCCAAATGGATGGGGGGGGCTGGTCCAAATCCCACTTCACATCTCCTTTCAAATTCAGAGTCTTTCAGAGACATATGGGGCAGGTAGTCTCACATCTGTCTCACAGGTGAGCAAACAATGGCCCAGGAGGTATAACTTTGCCCAAAATCACATAACAAGTAAACATATGCATCTTCCTTCTGAAGCCAGGATTATTCCTAGTCTCTCATGGCCTCCATTGAGCAGACCTCTTGGTTTATGGTTCCCTTCACATCTTCTTGAGCCCAAGACAGCTGGGCATCGTAGGCTCTGGACTGCTGACCACCCCTCTTCTCCCTGCCTGAGTCTGAATGGCGGAGAGGCTGAGAGTGAGTGGGGATTCAGCCGTAAGGATTCTAGTCTGGGCTCTGCCCCCTCAGAGTGTCTCCTTAGAAGGGGGTTACACTCTCTGTAAAACAAGCATGTATTCCTGTTGATCTCCATCTCCCTTCTAGATAGAAGTGAGCAGGAGTCCATGCCAGGGAGCCAGAGGAACTCATGTGCTGCACAGAGCCTGTGAGGGGCAGAGAGAAAACTCAGGCTCAGTGGGGACACATGCTTATGAGCGAAGACCCTCAGAAAAGTGCGGGGGGAGGGTGTGGTGGCTGTAAAAGGGAAGATGGAAGAGGAGGACTAGCTGTTTGATTTTGGTTATAGTTGTAAGGAGGAGAGGATGGGCTTACTTGGCACAAGGAGGAATTGAGATATTGGACAATAGGGAATGCTTGTAAAATGCCTCCATCTGGCAGGTGACTGCTTGAGGCCAGTGCTTGCAGAGCCCACTGCCTGGATGGAGGACAGTGGACAGAGGGCCTTGAGGGCTCTTTTAATTTCACGAGTCCAGAGATTTCGAGTCAGGTAGCAAAGGGAGCCCCAGACTTCTCCCCATACCCTGCTGAATGACCCCAGGTGGATTCATCTCTTGTTTGGAGCCTTATTTTCCCATCCTGGGGAGTGGAGCCTGGAGAAGTGGAGGGTCTCTGAGGGCAACCTTTCTGGGACTTCTTTTCTCTAGGGCCTGCACCAGATCCTCCTCCCAGAGAACCAGCATGACATGCGGCCCTTGATTCTCATCAGCCTGGGAGCTGAGGTGATACGGGTGAGGGAAGAGAAATTTTGTGACCTGCTTGACAGTAAGACAATAGAAAATTTGTCGAAGTTCAAGATCAAGTACCCCAGGTAGGTGCTGGACATGTGTGTATATCCCACCAGATTCAATGAACAATTTTTTACCTCTTGTTTTAGTACAAGAAAGGAAAAAATGGTAATACCTAATGCTGACGAGGGTTGAATGAAGTTGGCAATTGTTGGTACACTTTAAATTGGCTCAATCCTTTTGATAACAATGTTGGCATTATGTTTCAAGGGCTACAAAACTGTTCTTATCCTTTGAAGCAGTGGTCTACCTATGAATTTATCTTTATATAACTAAATTACACAGAAAGCTACATACATTAAGATGTTTGTAGCCACCATATTCATAATGGAAAAACAACCACCCCCACCTACAGGTGTCACATCAAGGGATAGTTTAGAAAACTGTGATACATTCCCTTGATAGAATGTAACAGTTTTATTTAAAAAATCATAAGTAAACAGGAAATAAAATGCTACATGAAAAGGACAGGGTACAGAATTGTATATATACTATGACTATGCCTTTGTAGAACACTTACATGAGAAAAATCTAGAAGGAAAATGAGCAAAAATGATAATACCTGTAGTATTGCACAATTTATGATAGTCATTCTCTCTGAAAAATAGGACTAAAAGGGACTTTCTGGTTATAGTTATATATTCTTCTCATGTTTGTTTTTGCAATGAGTATGCATTTCTTTTATAAGGAGGGAAAAAAAGATACACTTTTTAAAAGTCATTGTCAGGGTAGTGACTCTCCAAAAATGGATTTTTTCCTTTAGTCAATCTGCCCCTCTTTTTTTTTTTTTCTTGATAAATTCCTACTCATTCTTTAAGATTCAGCTTCTCCAGAAAACCCTTCCTGGCTGACCTCAGGCTGGGTGGGTTAAGTACCCCTTTTGTACCTTCACAATACTCCCCATGCAGCTCTGTCAGTGGCCATACCACGTGGTATTACAGCTGTTGAGAGCTGTGTAGTTTCTGCACAGTTCTTTCCCTATCACTTGATTGATTGCTTCATGAAGGCAGGGATTGGGCTTTGTCCCCCTCTCATCCCTGGTTCCTGTACATTATGTGGTATGTGGTAGGTGCTCAGTGGAGGTTGGATAAGTGAATGAATGAAAGGGACATACTCATTGTGGGAAACTGGAAAATGCTGAACATTTAAGAAGGTGAAGACCAAAGCCGTTTGTGTTCCTCCAGCAATCCCAGTTAGCATTTTATGTATCTTAGTATTTTGGGGGGATATGTGCCAAATATACATTTACCATTCAGGCACACAAAGTTTCATAACGGAGATCATACCAATAATGCAATTTGACATCCCCCTCTCTTTTTCTTTTCTTGTGGTGATGTTGTGGTCAGTCATGGTTTTTGTGGGCAGATGTGGGGAGCAGGTGATTCCTGTGGTCAAGAAAGAGGAAGGCTGAAGGCAGATCTGTAGAGTTCCTTCAGCCATGTCCAATAGGCACATGAAAGAATTTGACATGGGATTTGTATGACTTTGGATAAATCATTTCCCCTCTTCTAGGCTTCAGACCCCAATCTGCAAAACAGAAAATTAGACTAGATCAGTGTTTCTCCAGGTTTAGAGCATATTCACAGAAGGCTTACAAAATGACTTTTGGTGGTACACGGATTGTAAGCAACCTCGTATTAGACATGACAAGCTCGCTAAACTCATGATTTGACCATCTTGCTGCTTAGAACAAAGCCAAGGTAAATATTTAAGTAGAAGAAACTAAATAGAATTAAGAAAAATTATTAGCAAATTAAAAGAACAGATGTTATGTAGCTATGGCCCAAATTGGGACAGTTTTGTGGAAAAAAAAAAGTTGGGAAACATTGGTGATTCCTTGCAGTTCACCAGTGCCCCAGTTCTCTGATTCCTGAGTACTATCAATATAGAAAACAGCTATTTAGAGCCACCTACTCAAAAAAGGATTTAAAGAGTCTTAGCTTCTCACATAATGTCTAGTACATGATGGGTATCAGTTAAAGTCTGTTGAATTGATATTCAGAGAAGGTTTGCTTAGACTTGAGGGTGACAGATGTCTGGGCGCTCAGTGTCTGTGCTGCGCAGTCAGCACTTGGCTGCAATCAGCTGTAATGCTGACAGAGTTCTGGCTTATTCATTAATTGTTGAACTCATGGTTTTCTAGACTGCTAAAGCAGGCAGAAAACATATCCATTATCTAGCTCAAATCCTCCATGTTTAATTGAGGACTGTGGAGCCCAGGAAAGGGGACATGACATCCTGAAGATCACACAGTCAGTGGGTGAGACACTTGTCCTGTGGATCCCATGGGCTGGATATGCAGAAGCCTCTACCCCTACAAAACACAGCGAGTTCCACGTAGAATAAGAACAGCTGAGGTCACAAGAAAGAAGGGAAACCTCCAAGGGCCCAGAGGAAGAGCAGCCTAACACCAAAGCACAGAGCGTGCTCTAGTGCTGGATGGCCCAGCGGGCATCGGGTGGGGGTGGCAGTCGAGGGCATGATGGGCTGAAGTTTTGCAGCCTGCAAGGACTGACGAAGCTCTCAGTTCAAGTGAGGCAGAGATTGGAGCTGCACGAGGCTGAGGCCTTTAGAAGAGCTACCCACTTTAGTGAAAGATTAGACTAGAAATCAATGTGACCATCAGCATCAGGAGGTGATATGGAATCTTGTCTGTCTTAACTTGAACTCTGGATCCAAAAAAAAAAAAAAATCCCTTAAGAATGTATAGTCACATGCTTGTCCCTCACAGGTCTGGTGAGTTCCTTAGCCTCACTGAACCTTAGTTTTCATGTTTGTGAAATAGGGTGGTTGTGAGGATCAGAGTTAACAAGTGTAAAGTGCTTGGCACATGGTAAATAGGCAGTCAGGGTTAGATATTGTTATTTATTATGTAAGAAGTTGAGAGTTAATGGAACTTCTTAAGTGGAGACTGCAGTGCTGTGCTGGCAAATGTTCAGCAAGCAACTGTCTGGGAGGTGGAAGGTAACCCTGACTTGAAGTGTTTGCCAGTTTCTGTGGTTTACATCCTCCCATCATGGCCAGTTTTGAGCTACCAGCCTAATGTCACTTAGCATGGACTTGCTCTTGTGAGCTGGTAGGAGCTGCCTTTGGTACCTTTGAGACCAACAAGGACTAACTTGTAGCCCATTCTGACCTCTGGATTTTTTTGTTAAGTTGACCTCTATGAATCAAAGTTGATTTTGTCCTGGTCAATATATTCTACCCAGAAGAATGCTCTAATGTATCAGTGGTTTATCAGGCTTTCCTTCTTAGGGGAGGGTACAGGTGAGTCAGTGGAGGCTGAACATGCCTTTCCCTTGCGGTGGTCTCAGAAGGAAATAAGCCAGTGAGAGCTGAGCCCAGTCCACTCTCTCCCACTTTCCCTCACATGCGATGAGGGAAGGGGGCGGAGTAGACCCAGGGCACCAAGACAAGTCCAAGGTAGCTACCAATTGACATTCTGTCTCTATAGATTTGCCTGTTCTGGACATTTCAGATAAATGGAATCATGTAATATGTGGTCTTTTGTGAATGGCTTCTTAGCATAATGTTTTCAAGGTTCGTTTATGTTGTAGCAGGAATTAGTACTTCATTCCTTTTTATTGTCAAATAATATTCCAGTGAATGTAAATACTACACTTTATTTATCCATTCATCAGTTGATGGACATTTGGGTTGTTTCTGTGTTTTGGCTATTATGAATAATGCTGTTATGAACACTCTTGTGCAAGTTTTTGTGTGGACATATGGTTTCATTTCTCTTGGGTATCTACCTAGGAATGGAGTTGCTGGGTCACAAGTTAACTCTTTAACCTTTTGAGGAACTGCCAGACTGTTTTTCAAAGTGACTGCACCATTTTACATTGCTGTCAGCGATGTATTGGAACCCTTGTTCCAATATCTCCACATGCTCATTAACACTTACTATCGTTGCATTTTAATTATTATTATCCTAGTGGGCATAAGTGATATCTTGTGTGGCTTTGACTTAAATTTACCTGATGGCTAATGTAATTTAAAATTTTCAGTAGCTGCATTACAAGAAGTAAAAAGAAAGAAAAAAGGAATAAAAAAAAGTGTGTGAAATTAATTTTAAAAGTATATTTTATTGAATTCAGTATACCTAAAATATCATTTCAACATGTAATCAACATAAAAATTACTAAGATAGTCTACTTTTTTGTTGCTGTTCTAAGTCTTTGAAATCTGGTGTGTATTTTACACTTAGAACACATCTCTAATTCAGATAGACCACACTTCAGCTACTCAGTAGCCACATGTGGCTCGTGGCCACCATGTGGAATAGTGCAGGTCTAGGGGAAGAAGGTGTGGAAGGGTAGAGGAGGCAGAGAGAAGAGTCTGGGGAAAGGCACAGAGGTGGGACAGAGCACAGTGTGTTTAGGGACTGGCCAGAGTGGCAGGAGGCAAGGCTGGAGCAGCAGGGGTCTGGGAGGGGCTGGCATGGGAACTCCAGCATCTGTGCCTTACCTTCAGCGATGAAGATATGTGCCAGAAGTTCCTCAAGGAGAACAGCTGGAACATCTTTCGGAAGGACCTGCTGCGGCTGCTGGTAGAACCTCGCCAGTGTCCCCGGTTCACCCCAATCCAGCCCAAGAAGAAAGGGATCTACAGCCCTAAGCCTGTGATGCTGGATTTGTATAGCTTAGGCAAGAAGACTAAACCTCGTCATCCCGTTTTTATGGCACCCCAGAAATATCTCCCCCCATTGAGGATTGTCCAAACCATTTTGGCACCCCGATACAAAATCCAGGAACTCCTGCCTCAGTATAAGAATGCTGGGGTCCTTGGTTAGAATCATTAAAAGATGTTGGATTGACCACCATGTTTCCTGAGTGACCACCATGGGAGTTGCGGGGCTTACGGTGGGGTCCCCTGAGAACTGAGCTATGGGTCCAGAGAGATGTTTGGGGGCAGTAAGAGGGGCACCATCTCCCTTGACCCTTGTGGGGCTGAGTAAGCTATGGTCAGGAGACTGGGTGTGGATGGGTTAATCACTTGGGCTAGTCTCAGGGTCTTACTTGATGAGATAGGTGGGAGGCACAGAGACAAGAGCTTTTTCTGCACTGAGAATGTGTTTTTCCTTTGGCATTTTCTTGAGAAACCAGATAAACATTTGAATAGCTCTTATTCATGGTTTTGTGCAGTACTGCCGTTTCTTTGTGGGCAGAGAGTGGGCAGCACGAGGCCCTAGCTGTGTTGGGTTATACGTGTGACGTCCCTGGTAAATGCTCAGTATACATTCGGTGGCATTAGTACCTTTTTGACCAAGATCAATGTGGCCATCCAAAGACTCTCTTCCCCTTTCAATGGAATAGGAAACTGAGGCTTTGAAAGGCTGAGCCTTCATAATCAATGATAAAGGCCATCCCCCACAGATTTGGGATGGGAGGGTCCTGGCTGTCATCTCACCCAACCTCCACACTAACTGGAACAGTTCATGTCAATATTAAGGGGCAGCCTTGGGGAGAGCAGAGGTAGGTCACCAAAGCACTGACATACACTGTGGGTGAGGGTGCTATTTGAAGGAAGGATGGGTGGGACGGTGAGGAGAGGGCTTCTGGCTTTAAGTGTGTGAGAGCCTCCTAGCCTCCGGGCTGTGAGCGTCAGAATCCATTCCCCAAAACCCTCCCACCCTGGCCCATCTGCTCTGCAGCATGCAGCAGGGAAGACAAATTAGGATTTATTTGGGAGAGAAACTCAGTTCAGAAGGAGCCAGTTGTGCCAACACTGCTTGGCACTGGTGTCAGAGAACAAATTTGTTTTCAGTGCTACAGAGGTTTTCACTGCCCACCTGGCACAGATCCAAGACTCAGGAAGCCCTCAGTGGATCTGCCTTCAGAGAGAAGGGCCTGGTCTCAGGTACTGAGTACCTAGTGTGAGCCTGCATTGTGTGAGGCACTCTACAGAGGCTATCACTTACCCTGAAAATACTTCCTGGCAGCTAACTAGGTGGCATTGTCCCCATAGGACAGATGAGGAGCCCGAGGCCCAGAGAAGCAAAGAAAGGCCTTGTTTAAGCTCACTCGGCTGCCAGGTGGTGGTTTTGGGAAATCTGTGTGTTTTCACTGCACCCCAGGGCCCTCCTAGGCAGGCAGTGCTGCGGTATGTGTACTGTGACACCACCATTACTCATCTTCCCGAATGAGCCACCTGTTTTCAAAACAGAAATTCTGTATACACAACCTTGGAACTGTGCTGGAGAGACTATATATGCCCTCAGGGATGATTTTCCATATGTAAATAAGTGCAGTCATCTTAGAGAGGCACACCCAGGCCACTGAAGCCAAAAATATACCCTCAGGGACTAATAGCTTCCACTGTTTGGGGAAAATGAAAAAGCGCATTTGAGAAGCACAGGAGATATTGCCAGCATTTGTTATAGGAAGTATTTAAGATTCCTTTTTGGGGTTGGAAGCAAAAAACATTCTTTAAGTCCTCTATTCCTTTTACGTAACTGGTGGAAAATCTTAACCTTCCACTTATGGAAAGTCTAACGGGTGAGATGGGTCACTTTGCAACTCCCATAGCACTACTAGGGGCCATTTTGCCGTGATGCTTTCCTGTCATTTGGGGATTTAAGGGGTTTAACCACAAGGGTGCTGAGTTGCAGAATTTGTAATCACTGGTTCAGAGCTGACAGTGAAGACGAGTAGTTTCTAGGTGGCCAAGAAGCAGCACCAAAGGTGGAAAAAGATGTATTCAGGCTGCTAAAGGCTGTAGGCTTTAGTTCTGGGGACAGAGCCTGGGGGCATTGGGAAGATCTGGATGAGTGCTGTGTGACTTTCAGCCAGGCTCCTTCCTTTTCTGGAGCTTCACTACTATCATTTCTAAAATTTGCAGGGTCCAGTAGGTGTTCTTAAGCCTCCCTACAAGTCCAGGCTCTGCAGGGCGCCTGACCCTGTCTTTTGTTTCTCCCCACCCCCATTCTCCTACTTTCAAAGCCTCCCTAGCCCCCAACAGAAAATCAGAATCAAGAAGAAAATGGAAAATGATTACAAATCAATAAAAAATGTTAAAAAAAAAAGAAGAAAATGGATTATTGAGACCCTTGGTGACATATGGAAACGAAATAGTAAAAAATAATAATACTATGAGATAATAGTATTAGTGTTAAATGTCCTGCTTTTGGTTAATTGTACTGTGGTTAGAATCTCCTTGTTCTTAGGAAATACACACTGAGGTACTTGGCCATTAAGGAAGATGATTTCAACTTACTGTCAAGTGATTTAGAAAGATATTGTGTGTATATTTAGAATGGCAAAGCATATATAGCAAAATGGTAACAGCTGGCGAATCTGGATGAAGGATACATAGGACTTCTTTGAACTGTAATTTTTAAAGAGATTATTTTTAATTGTATAATATACAGAAAATACACCCTCTTAACCATTTTTAAGTATCCATTTTGAAGTTCATTGTATTAAGTACATTCACACTGTTGTGCAACCATCACCACATTCATTTCCAGATTTCTTGTCATCTTGCCAAACTGAACCTCTGCACCCATTAAACAACAGCTTCGCATTCCCCAGTCCCCTCTTCCAGCCCTTGGCAGCCACCATTCTATTTTGTCTATGAATCTGACTACTTTACATACCTTAAATAAGTAGAATTATACAATATTTGTCGTTTTGTAAATGTCTTATTTCACATAGTGTAATGCTCTCACGGATCATCCACGTTGTGGCATGTGTCAGAATTTCCTTCTTTTTAAGGCTAAATAAGATTCAATTGTGTGTATGTACCACATTTTGTTTATCCATTCATCTGCTGATGGGCTCTTGGGCTGCTTCCACCTTTTGGCTATTGTGAATAATGCTGCGGACATGAGTGTACAAATATCTTTGAGACCGTGCTTTCAATACTTTTGGCATATACTCAGAAATGAAATTGCTGAATCATATGGTAATTCCATTTTTAATTTTTTGAGGAACTGTCATACTGTTTTCCATAGTGGCCACACCATTCTTACAATTTTAGTGTGAAATTATTTCAAAATAAATATTACAACTCTAACTGTCTTTGTAATTAGATGATTAATTGCTTTTAAAATCTGGTGATAAGATCCCTGATATCTAGAGCAAAAAGGGAAATATGCTATTTCACTAGAAATTAGACAATTAATAGCACTTGTGCTTGTTTTTGTTTTATTTGTGGACAAAGACTTGTAGACAGGTGCAAAAATAAATCCTCTTTTGCAACCCAGAACTCATTGTTCAGTATGAGTTTTGATACAGGCAAGACAGAACAGGATACCTAAAACAGATTCAAGTGATGAGTATTGATAAACATAAAGATAGCTTCTGGGACTATAGAAATGGTAATTTAAAAGCATAAGATGAGAAATGATCAGTTATGTTGATTTAGTACTCTGACTTTAATGTTCACATGAAACAAACGTGGCTTCTTTTTTTAGGCTTTTATCTTGAACAGTGTCTAGACTTTAAAAAAAGGGTATTGGCAACGATCAGTACTATTCTAGGGTGTGATAAGCTTAGGAGTAAATGATTTGAACTTAATGTATATTTAGAGGGTGTCTGAAATTCAGAACCAGGCGGATCAATCTTCCCTGACTCCAAATATGTAATAGTCCTAAAGTAAACTGCTTGAGAAAATTGGACTCCAAAGATTACAGGTGAGGAGTTTTTGAAGTGTGCTCATGTTCCACTGGAAGTCAGAGAAGCCCAACTAAAAGAATTATGGACTGACTGACAATTGTTGATTGAGCAAAAATTATTGAAAGGTCTGTCTTGAAGATTATATGACTCAGACATTGGAGGAACTAAGGGTTGATGGGCAGTGGAAAGAATCAGAACATGTGTGAAATTCTTAAAAAATGTATTGACTTAAATTATGCTACACAATTTAAAAAAAACCCTTTACACTTAAAAGAAAAGAAAAGAAAAGAAATTAGACAATTAAGGCCAAGAAGAAAATGGAGGAAATCAATATGGATTTATATAAGCATTGGCCATGATGATTATGAAAACCTGGCGTTGAGCTCCCTGACAGCCAAGGCAAAAACAAAAAAAACAAACATGTTTGAAAGGAAGAATCTGCTCAGTCCCTCAAGGAGAGTAACAAAATTTTTTCTCATCCAAGGAGGCTGGGGAAGTTTGTCCTTACTCCTTTCTTTCATAGGTGCTTCCTACTCAATTTACTGTGTTCTCCTTTCTTTGAGGATACCTTAAATTAGAGGTCTGCCTGTTTCTCCTTGGCTCTAGACTCCTTGGCCTCTGACACCACAGGTCCCCTCTGTGTCAGGCCCCTTCTGACACCACAAAGTTAGTGTCTGGAATGGTTGCCTGCAGGTGAGGGCTGTCCACCCCACCTTGCTCCCTTACTGAAGGCTTATCACATGGAAGAAGGCAGTGGATTCAATGGCCTTTAAGCCCTAACAACACTGATTATCTGTGACTTTAAGGGTTAAAAACTGAGACTATCTTTTCCTGAGTAGGTTTTTATCTTAGAAGACACTGTCAGAAAGTCCTTCCTGTCATAAGTTAAAGCTCATGCTACTGTTCAAGACTTTTTCTTATTTTGTGTGAGGTGGAGATAAGGAGGAACTACTCATTACTCTTCTGGAAGCCTCCTTCCAGTAACACCAGCCCTTTTCCTGTCCTTTTGTGTGATTTTATTGACATCACAGAGCAGAAGGAGCAGGATTATGAGCAAGAGTTCTGGATTTAGGCTGCTCAGCTCCCGACCAGCTATGTGACATTAGGCAAGTGACTTTTGGTTTTTTTGCCTCAGTTTCCCCATCTGTAACATAGGAATAATAAAAGCATCTGTTTCATAAAGTTATGAAGATTAACTTAAGCAGTCCATATGAAACACTAAATTCAGAGCTGGACTCTCAGAAAGCAGATGCCTGGGGTGGGAGGAAAAGGGGCACCCAGGGACAAAATGGAACAGGTGGTAGGTCTGTGAGCCTTGTAGACCAACAGAGGCCAGCCCTGCCCCCAGAGATGAAATAGAAGAGTCCCACATGCGGGCATTTCTCCATTTAACAGATCACAGCGGCTGGGGGATGTGCACGTGTAAAAAGCTCTTACCACGGAGTCGTTCTGCATTTGCCCGTTGCTCTATTATCATACACATCCTTATCAGCTTCGATGATTACCAGCTCCTGGGATCCTCTGCCTCTTTGAGAGGAGCTCCAGAGCCTGTTGGCTGACTACCTCCTCCTCCTCTTATGCCAGGGTTTGTCTTCTGTCCCTTAGCTACCAGGCTCCTGGCATCTCCACTGGATAGGGAGGCGTATGGGAGCTGGTAGCACTGAACTGAAATCTAGGTGAATTCAAACAGTATATCTCCAATCAGCAGACATGCTGTAGGGAGATGGAGTTGCTCAGGGTTTGGAGATACAGCACCAAACCAAACCAAACCAAAGCCCCTGGCATCAAAGAGCTGACCTTCTGGGTCAGTGGTTAAAGAACACATACACACACACATAAAAAATGCCCAAGAAAAATCAGGGCAGATGGGGGATGGAGGTGGATTAGGGACCACTACTTTGTAGAGGGTAGTCAGAGAAGGCTTCTGCAAGACTGTAACGTTGGTGAGTTCAGGGTGAGGGAATGAGCTATGCAGATATCTGGGGGAGGAATGTTCCAGGCAGAGAGAGCATCCTCAGCACAACTAAATAACAGCCAGAAGCCTGCTGGTGTGGCTGGAATGAAGTCAAAGGAGAGAGAAATTGAAAGGAGGCAAAGGCAGAGGGAGACTGGGGCCCAGCTCATGATCATGTGAAGGGAGCCTTTGGAAAGTTCTGAGCAGAGGAGTAACATGATCTGGCTACAGACTCGGAGTTTAGGCACGAGGGTGGAATGGGGAGGCGGACGGTGTGGCACAGTTGGGAAGCCAGTGCCATAATCCAAGTAGGAGATTATGGTGGTTTAGATCAGAGTGACTGTGGTGGAAGTGTCTCGATGGGGCTAATCATGGACATATTTCGATGGTAAAACTGATCAGGGTTTCCTAATGAACTGAATGTGAGGATAGAGAGAGAGAAACTAAGGATTATTACAAAGCTTTTGGTTTGAGCAAGTGAGAGGATGGAGTAGCCCTTTACTGAGATAAAGACTAGGAGAAGCACATTGGAGGATGAGTATCAGGAGTATGGTTTTAACAGTTAAAAAAAAAGGACTTAAGGAAGAAGCAACAATACATAAAGCAGTTAGGACACCACAGGCACTGCATGCACACTTGTGCAAGGTTACTATTATCCCCATTTTTAAAACAAGCAGGTGAAGCTCTGAGGGTTAAGTTACTCATCCACTGTCCCACTGCTGATTCAGTAGAAAAACCAGGATTCAAACCTGGGTCTGTTTGGCTCCAAACTTGGGTTTGTTTCTCTTTTTAAATGTCCTCAGTATTCCATGATCCCTTGTCCTTAAGGTTTCTTGGTGATACTATCGGAAAGTTCTTCCTCATGTTTAATAGCAGGGTAACCTGGTGTAATAGAGCCCTAGTCTTTGTTTGGGGCTCTTGGCTTATGTCAGGTGAGGTGAGTGAGTGAAGATGGGTGAAGCAGGTGGCAGCCCATGAGCTATTTGCCTCTTCAAGCATTACTGATAGAGCCATGAAATTTAAATTCCCTTTTTTTTCTTGAGGATTTTAATTTTTTAACTTTTTTTTATTGAGTTATAGTCATTTTACAATGTTGTATCAAATTCCAGTGTAGAGCACATTTTTTCAGTTATACATGAATATACATAGATTCATTGTCACTTTTTTTTCGCTGTGAGCTACCACAGGATTTAAATTCCCTTTTCAAAGGTCTTCATCACCAGAAAGGTTATTCAAAACTTCCCTGACATCACATAATACCTAAAACAAGATTTTAAAAATGTAGACAAACAAGTAATAGATAGGTAGGTAGGGTAGATATCTATATATATAGATACAGATATTTGAAAAGTTCTAAAAATATTTTAATCTTTCATAATCCCCAATTTTAAATGAATTTAATGAGAACTGAAAAAATTTCCACTACTTCACCCATCTAATTTCATCTCCCAAGGATAACTCGATTAACAATTTGGTACATAACCTTAAGAGTTCACATACTTATACCCATTTCTATATTTATTATTTTAACAATGACAAAAGGAAAGTGCTATACAGCAGTGTCCAATAGAATTTTCTGCAATGACAGCATGTCTACCAGCCACATATGGCTACTGAGCACTTGAAATGTGGCTAATGTGACTGAGGACTGAATTCTTAATTTTAAGTATTTTAATAGCTATAGGTAGGTAGTGGCTACCACAATGAACAGCTCATGTCAGAAATTTTGGTTTTTTACTTAGAGTATCATGGATATTTCTTTTTTGTGTGTAATTTTATACATTTTGAAATCATCTCACAGAAAAGTTGCAGTTACAGTACAAAAAAGTTTGTCCCCTGAGCCGTTTGAGAGTAAGTGAGGACTGGATGCATCAGCACACCCAAATAATTTGGTGTTTATTTCCTTCAGACAAAGACATTCTCTTACATAGCTATAACCATCAAAATCAGGAAACTGTCATTGGCACATTACAGCTATCAAATCCTCAGAACCCATCCACATTTTGCCAGTTGTCCCAATAATGTCCTTTATAGCAAAGGGTCCAGTTCATAATTGTGCAGTACCCTTAGTTGGCATTCCTGTTGGTTTCCTTCTGTCTGATACAGTTCTCAGCCTTTCTTTGACACTCATAACCTTGGCACTTCTGAAGATTATAGACCAGTTACTTTGTAGAATATTCTCATGGTTAGATTTAGGTTATGCATCTTTGGCAGGAAGAAAATCACAGAAGTGATGCTGTGTTCTTCCCGTTGGATGCTATCAGGTGGTACAGGATTTCAGTTTGTCCTGTTACTGGTGGTAACTTAGATTATTGGATTAAAATAGTGTCTCCATTGTTACTGTTGTTACTTAGTCCTTTTTCATTTTAAAATTTATGTGTATGTATGTGTGTGTATATATATATACGTTGTATTAAAAAAAACTCACATAACATGAAATTTACCATCTTAACCATTTTCATTTTTAGGTTTATCGTTCAGGTGTGTTGAGTATATTCACATTGTTGTGAAAGAACTTTTTCATCTTGCAAATCTGAAACTCTGTACCCATTAAAACAACCCCCCTTTCTCCCCTCCCTCCAGCCCCTGGTAGCTACCATTCTACTTTGTCTTTATGAATTTCACTACTTTTAGATACATCATATGAGTGGAATTATACGGTATTTATCTTTTTGTGACTGGTTTGTTTCACTTAGCACAATGTCCTCAAGGCTCATCCAAGTTGTAGCAGGTGACAGAATTTCTTTCCTTTCTAAAGCCGAATAATATTCTATGGCGTGTATATACCACATTTTGTTTATCCATTCATCTGTTGATGGAAATTTGGGTTGCTTCCACCTCTTGGTTTTAGTGAATAGTGCTGCTATGAACATGGATATGCAAATATCTTTGAGATCTGCTTTTAATTTTCTTGGATATATATCCAGAAGTGGGACTGCTGGATCACACTGTAGTTCTAATTTTGATTTTTTGAGAAACTGTCATCCTGTTTTTAACAGCAGTTGCACCATTTTACAGTCCCACCAACAGTGAACAAGGGTTCCGACTTCTTCACATCCTTGCTTGGCAACACTTGTTATTCTCTGTTTTTTGTTAGTGTGAGATGATATCTCATTGTGGTTTTGATTTGCATGTCTCTAATTATTAGCGAGGTTGAGCATTTTTTCATATGCTTGATGGCCATTTGTATATCATCTTTGGAAGAATGTCTGTTAAAGTCCTTTGTCTATTTTTCAATTGGTTGATTTTTATTGCTGTTGCTAGAGTTCTTTATATATTCTGGGTATATCAGATGTGCAGATATTTTCTCCCATTCCGTAGGTTGCCTTTTCACTGAGTATGTCTTATTCCCTATTTATTAAAAATAGGTATTTTATGAGGAGATGCTTTGAAACCATGTAAATATCCCCTTCCTTAGCATACTTTTCATTTATTTATTCATTTATTTATATCAGCATTGGACTCATGGCTTCCTGCTTTATATAATCTGTTATTATCATTTTATATTTTGATGCACAAATGGCAACAGATTAGGCCAATGGAAACCACTTCAAGCTGGCTTCTGCAGCCCTTTTGACATGTTCCTCACATTCTCTGTGGTACTTTCTTATTTTCTGCCACAACAGGATATTCCAGGATGATCTTGTACTTTCTGTTGTGGACCTGGAATTAGCCATTTCTCCAGGGACCCTGGTTCCTTATAGTAGAGAATGGTATTTAGAAGCTTCTGGCCCAGACCCTGCCACTGATGAAATTTGTGGCTTTGAAAGGCCCAGCATCTGATCTGGAGAGGCATACATACATCAGCCAGCCAGAACAAACCCCTCATTTACAGATGACGAGACTGAGGCCCAGATGGGATCAGTTGGCCAGTGTTCCCCAATTAGTTGAGAGAACTTAGCCAAGAGCTGAGGCCTGACTCCCTTCCAGTGCTCTTTCCCTGGCAAGATATGTTGTTAGCGATGAGATGTAAACCCAGTGGGGCCTGTACCCTCCCTGGACTTCACTTTCCTTTTCTGTCCACTGAAGTTTAGCTTTGCCCTCCAGTTCCAGGACTGCCTTTCTCAAAGCTAACTTCGTTGTCTCTTTAGCTCTTTATGAGCCCTACCCCTACCCCTACCCCCGACCTTTGTGGGTGAATTCACCTTAAATTACAGAGAACTTCAGCTTTTATCTCCAGCTCTGGTGGATTTTGGGGTGGCAGACTGGCTCTAGTCTGGGATGAGTTGTCCGAATGTACCTGATTCTCCGCCTCCAGGCCAGGGGTTCAAGGCATGTGTGCCTCCCTGAAGCCTGTCTCAGTCAGCTAACACCTGTCAGAGGGGCATCAGTGCTAGAGAAGGCCTGATCCTGAGTGGAAAGGGCCTCTTCTACCTGCCGTCACCGGCTCCCAGCCCACCCAGGGAAACACTCAAAATACTGCCTCTCCACATCCAGAGGCCAGTGACCTTTACCCTCAAAGTTCGGAGTAAGAACCCCTTTCATATTCTACTAAAGAATGTTTTCTGTGCCTAATTTGGGGGTGGGTGGTGCTGCATTGGACCTCCCCTTGCCCCCCACCTTGGGTCAGCTGTGACAGGAACTGCCAGCCTGGGGAGCCCTGACTATTAAACCAGAGCCTGTAACAGCTGTGCTGTACAGGTCAGTCCAAAAAGCTAAGCTTTAGTCTCCTTTGTATTCAAGACATTTCCTCAGCACCTGCTATGTGTCAGGCATTGTGCAGCTCCCTGTTAGAGATGATTTAAGCCTGAGCTCAATCCAGTAGACTTCAAGTAACAATGACAGTACAAGTGGGTTCCTTACACAAGAGGCACAAGTAGGGGCTGCAAGGGAAGGGGCGTAACTTCTGACACCTGTTTCTGGCACTTTAATCTTGGGGTGTCAGATTCTCATAGGTAAGGCTGTTAAAACTAAAATTTGAGAGGGCAATGAAGAATGATTTTGCTGGGTGAAAAGTGTGGAAAGGGCAGTATAAGCAGAAGGAATAGCTTGAGCAAGGCTGGAATCACCAAAGTGTGAAGTTACCTTGAACAGTAAGGCAATCAGGGGAGCTGACATCTAAGCAATGGAGGAAACTTCAGATACCTTAAAGCCCAAGCATGAAGGGTGTTAACACTGTGCTTCTGTGGAGTATGCACTTAACTCTGCAAGCAATGGAGACTTCGTGGCTTTTAAAATAACATTTATTTCTTGAAAGCTAACATGTGCATAATAGGAAACCAAAAAACACAAGAAGCAAAAAACAAAGTAATCCATAATCACAAGCAGTTTACAGTTTGATGTGTCCTCCTAGGTCTCATTTGTGTATCTACATAACTAAGCATCCATTTTTATGTAATTAAGATCATACAATTAGGCATCATGCTTTTTCACACATTATGAATATTTACCATTCCAGAGTCCCAAAACTATGAGTATTTTGATAACCAATACACTACACCAACTCAATCTGGAAGGAAAAGTGTAATCCTTTCTTGGCAACAAAAATTTCATAAAAATAAGAAATGGCAACAGGCCTCTAAAGATATTGGCAGTTATGATTAAAGTACTATATTCCCCTAATGCAATTAAAAATGAGACATAAAGCAACAGAGTACATGAAGTATAATGCTTCTAAGAGGGTTCATTACCCAATCTATACTATTAAAATATTAGCAAGGAGGTATGTTTCCACTGAATTGCTTAACAATGTATTCTTATAGTACAGCCAAAGAGATGCACACAAATCAACGGTTATCATCCAAATATGGACACATCTGCATACACCCCTCCCTTTAATACTCTTTCTGCCCCCCTAACAAGTTCTCACATACATTTCTCAGAGACAGTTTAAGTTCCATGTCCAAGATGCTTTTTTATCAGTTACATCAAAGATATTTACAAATTGGTTAATTCACTAGCTCTACTTTTTATTATACGTTGTCACCTCATGACATCTAAAAAGCTTAGATGTTGCAAAGTAAAGAATGAACCTTGTTCACAATACACATAGGTACTTTACAAAAATGCACACACATAGACCTATGGTTATAACCTAAAACTGTTTTCTAGATATGGAGGTTATCAGCCAAGAGCCCTTCCCTTCACCCTTCCTCTTACCCTCCTCCAGCATTTCAGCGACTAAGTACAGGACTACATTTAGCTCCAAGAGGTGGATTAACATAGACACTCCCAGAAGACATAGCCCTTCCTAAAAAACAACAAAAGGGCATTTATAAAGGGATTATTTTACTACCTCTACTTTAATATACTTCAGGCATTAGGATGTGTTTATTCTTTAATATACAGCAATATTAACTAAAACACAGACAGAACATTAGACAATCTCAACTTGTCTATAAAGACTCATGGGCACAGAACCTTCTCTCTGCACTTCCTTCCCTGCCCCTCCCCCCCAACCCCCCAGTGAACAGTCAGCATACTCTCCAAGACTCAGGTTTAACAATTCCATTCCCCAAATACAACCATTCCTATGGATTAACAGGAAAAAAATACTTAAAGGTGTTACCTTAACTCTACTTTTAACTTATGTTGTGCACTTTTAAACATCTAGAGAGAACAAGTATTTTAGATAAGGATTTAAGTTTGTCTGCTATACATACACATAGTAGCAAACAAAGGCTATAAAGGCTATAATCTCAGTGTCGTCTAAACAGGACACTCTGGCCTAGAACCCTTCCCCTTCTCATGTCTATCAACCCAGCGGGCAAGTGTAATAAGCATCTGTAATGCTCAGAGGGGATGTTAACAATATCAAATCTTCCAGAACAGCCTTTCCTATGAATTTGAACACAAAGTATGCACAATGTATTTGTTTACTAACTCTACTTCTGTCATACACTGGCAACCTCTTTAACATCTAGGAAGACTAGATGTAAGTTGGGACGTTTGTCCTTTATGTACACTATATACACAGCTAAGTAAAACAAAATGCAGACATACGTATGGGACAATGGTTAATCTTGCCTAACTACAAACGTACTGGTATAAAGCCCTTTGCACTTCTTCCTCCTCAAACCAGCACAAATAAAATAACGTGTACTGCTCAGAGAGGTGATCATTTGATCATTCCATTTCTAAAAGACAGTATTATATATGAATTTTAACAAAAGGGTATCTACAAAATGTTATTTCACTACCTCTACTTTTAACATACTTTGTGCACTTCTAAACATCTAGAAAGACTAGATGTTTCAAATAAGGACTTGAGTTTGTCCACTATATACACAGTAGTGTTGAATAAACTACACACATGTAACAATGGTTATATCTGAAAGTGTCTTCTCTGTAGGAACATTCTAGTCTAGAACCCTTCATTTCTCCCAACTCCTTCCATCACTCATCCAGCAATGGGCTAGTACAGGCACATGTGTCACTTAGATGCGATTTACAACTTCATTTTCAAAAGTCCTTTTCAGAAGACAGCCTTTCGAAGAATTTTAACACAAAGTGTACAAAATGTGTTAGTTTACTAACTCTACTTTTGTCATACATTGTCAACCTCTTTAACATCTAGAGACTAGATATTATAAAATTGGGACCCATTTGTCCAGTATATACATAATATATACAGTAAAGTTAAATGCAATGCATGTAACAAATAAAGCAATAGGTAAGTTCAAAATTTCTAGTACACACTAGCAAAACATCTTTTGCAATCTTCCCTTCCACCTCCCTCAAGCCAGTGAACAAGCAGAGTATGCTGTTCAGAGAGGTTTAACAATTCCATTTCCAAAGACAGTATTTCCCAAGTTTTTAAAAGCTATGTACAAGAAGCACTATTCTACTAATACTACTTTTTAAATACATCAAGAACTTCTAAGTATCTAGAAAGACTAGATATTTCATATAAGAACTTATATCCACTATGTACACAGCACTGTTAAATAAAATTGCACACACCTAACAATGGTTGTAAGCTGAGGTATCTTCTAAATATGACCATTTGGCCTGAACCAGTTCCTCCCTCACTTCCTTCTCTCCACCACCATGCAGTGGACAAGTATAGGCATGTGTAATGCTTACAGGTAGCTGAACAAATTCACACCCAAAAGTCATTTACAGAAGATGAGCTTTCCTATGAATTTCAACACAAAGTGTACAAAATGTGCTAATTTTACTACTTTTCATACACTGGCAACCTCTTTAACATCTAGAGACTAGATGTTGCAAAATTAGGACTCATATGTCCATTATATACACTATTTACACAGCAAAACAAAATGCACATAACATACAAAAAATAATTTTATCTGTAAAAGTCCAGGTACAAACTAGCATATTACCTTTTGCAATTCTTTCCCTCCCTCCCACCACCTCCGAACCACTGAACAAGTATAGACAATAATATACTGCTCACAGAGGTGGTTTAACTATTCCATTCCCAAAACACAGAATTTCTTATAAATTTTAGCAAAAAGATATTTACAAAGCGATATTTTACTACCTCTACATTTAACATACGTCGGGCACTTCTAAACATCTAGATGGACTAGATGTTTCAAATAAGGACTTAATTTGTCCACTATATACAGAGCAGTCTTAAATAAACTGCACACATGTAACAGTTATAATCTGCAAGTGTCTTTGAAATATGAGCATTATAGCCTAAGACCAACCCCCTTCCCTCCCTCTCTCCACCAACTCAGAGGACTATAATGCTCAAATTTTCAGAAGACAGTCTTTCCTAGAAATTTTAACACAAAATGTACAAAAATGTATTAGTTTACTAACTCTATTTTTGTCATACACTGGCAACCTCTTTAACATCTAGAAAGACTAGATGTTGTAAATTAGGACTCATTTGTCCATTATATACACTATATACACAGCAAAGTGAAACAAAATGCATGAATATAAAAAGGACAATGGTTAACCTTGTGTCACTATTAACACACTGGCACAGAGCTCTTTGCACTTCCTTCTCCTTCCCCCTACCTTGAACCAGTGCACAAACGCAGTGTGTACTGTTCAAAGAGGTGGTGTGGCCAATCCCCCCCCAAAATAAACAATATTTCATGTGAATTTTAACAAAAAGATATTTACAAAATGCTTTTACTACCTCTACTTTTAATATATATCAGGCACTTCAGAACATCTAGGAAGACTAGATATTTCAAAAAAGTACTTAGCATTGTCAACTGTATATACAGTAGTGAGGAATAAAATGCAGACACAAGACAATGGTTATCATAGGGAAGTGTCTTCTAAGTATGACCAGTCTGGCATAGAACCTTCTTTTCTTCCTCTTCACGGTTTTCCACTCCATGTCCTCTAACTCACAGAACAAACGTGGACCTGTGTCGCTCCTGATGTCGCTTCTAGAGGAGGTCAAACAATTCCATTTCAAAAAAGTCATTTCCTGAAGACATTTCTATGATTTTTTAAAAAAACAAATAGGCATTTACAAGACATGTGATTTTCTAACTCTACTTTATCATACGTCGGCAACCTCTTTACATCTAGTAGGTCTAGATGTGGCAAAAGTTTTCTTTTGAAAGGTTGAGGGGAAAGTTGAGAGCAGCTTTTTCATATTATATACACAGGCCTTCTATAAACGGCCGGCAGATCTTCCCAAAGGGTGGTGGCACTTCCGATTAGCCAAACGTGCTACTTTATTCTACCATTTCTATCTTCCGAGTTCAAGGTCTTGGTAGAACGACGTCCAACCGCCCGATGGCCCGCTAACCGTTCCACCCGTGGTGGACGAGGGTTCCGCTCACCTTCCGGGTCCGTTAAGGCCTTTGTCCGTCGTTGCCCAGACGAGGTGAGGTCTCGTCCGCCTGGGAATGAGCGGTCACCCCAGGTCCCGGATCTGCGCAGCCCCAAGGCCTAAGGCTGGCCAAGCTGGTGTCCATAGAGAACCGCCTTCTTGGGCCCTCGAGGATCTAACGGCCCTCCGCAGCGTTCCAGTGGCCGCCATTCTTCTCGCCCTGCCACGCCCGACGCCCAAAGGCGCCACGTCCTCGGCAGCTTGGCGGAGGCTTCGCCTAAGCTCTGCAGCGTTCAGCCAAGAGACCGCGCCGTCGGCGAGGTCCGGGCTCCAAGGGGCCGCCGCCATTAGGTCTCGGAGGTGGGGGTTGGGGAGAGGGTCGCTGCTGCTTCAAGGGCTGAACCCCGCCCGTGGGCGGCCGCAGCGAGGGCTCTGGGGCTCTGCAGGACACAGCCCGCAGCCTGTCCCCGGGCCCCCCAGCTCACCCTCCGGCCTGAGGCCGGAGGGCCTGGAGGGTCCCGGGAGAGATAGCCGCAGTCCGTTTCTCACCGCGCTCTGCCGGAACTGACTTGGCAGTTCTCTTCGCTAGTCAGAGAGGAGGGGCACCGGAAGTGCCCTCGCACTGGGACCCGCGAGCCAAGGTTCCGGGACTGAAACGTTCCGGCGGGAGGAAGGACGAAGGGGGTGTCGCGTAAGATCAGGACAGCCTCCTGGCTTGCCCTTCGAAACGGTAATTTTTCAGAATTCCCTGAGCATGCGTATTTCTCCACTCCCTCACACCCACACTGTTGGACTAGGAGGCTGTTTACAATCTTTCATTCGTTCGCGTATTTACCAGCTATTTACTGAGCACCTACTATGTGCCTCACAAGCACTGGGGAAGGCAGCAGTGAAGGAAAACAAACAAACGAACCCCCCCCAGCACGATAATTTATACCCTATTGAAATTTACATTATAGTAGGGAAAACAGACAATCCTTAAAATGCATAAAAGGGCAGATCGTGAAAGTGCTATAGAAAAATAAGTGCTACAGAAAAAAAAAGTGAGCGTGGGATGTTTTAGATAGTGGCTAGGTAGGTGACTTTTGAGCAGATATCTGCAGGTGAGGGAATGAGCCATCCAAAGGGCTGTCAGATGGAAGAGCCCTTCTGGCAGAGGGAGCAGCCAGTGCACAGGCCCTTAAGCAAAAGCGTTGGCTCTGGCCTGATCCAGGAACAGCAAAGAGGCTGGAGCAGAGTGAGCAGACAAGCGTGTAGAAGTTAAAGCAGTTACATAATGTGAAAGACGGAAAAGAGAATTTGGTGTTTTTTTTCTGAGTGAAATGGGAGCCATTGGAGGGCTATGGCCTGTGGCATGGAGGATAGCTGAATGGGGTCAGAGGTAGCAGCAGGGAGACCAGCTAGTAGACCACTGCAGTCAACGGGGTGAAATGGTATAATGGCTTCTACCAGGATAATGGCAGCAAAGATGACAAGAAGTGGTCAAATTCAGGATAAATATAAGATCCAGCCTGCAGGATTTGTTGACAGACCAGATGTGAAGTGGGAAAGAGAGGAATCAGGGATGTCTCCAAGGCTTTTGGCCTGAGCAGTTGATGGCAGGAATTGCCATTAAGTGAGATGGGAAAAACTGTGGGAGGATGGGGTTCTGGGGGGAAATATCAGGGGTTCCGTTTTGGACATGGTAAGTTTGAAATGCCTATTTGACATTCAAGTGAATATGTCAAGTCAACGGTTGGATTTATGAGTCTGGCATTCAGGAGAAAGTCTGAGCTCTCCCTTTGGGAGAATCATCAGTGTATAGATATCTTTAAAGCTATGAGGCTGCTTGAAAGAACCAAGGGAGTACACAGAGAGAGACAGAGACATCTGAGGCCTGACCCTGGGGTACTCTGCTGTGTAAAGATCAGGCTGATGAGAAGGAACCAGCAAAGGAGACTGCAGAGTGAACAGAGAGGTAGGAGGACAACCACAAGAATGTAATGTCCTGAAAGTAAATGAAGAAAGTGTTTCAGGGGAGAAGTGTTTCATCAACAGTGTCAAACATTGCTGATAGGTCACGTGGGAAGAAATGGTTGAGAATTATACTGCTAGCTTTTATAATTAATGCTGTGAGGAATATTCTTGTGGATCTTGAAACTTGGTGGAGGCTTCTGATTTCCTTTGGATTACAATTCTAGAAATGTAAAGAAAGATCAAAGGGTTGGTTCAGGTTTAATGATGCAGACCCAGCCAGGATTCCCAGGAGGAAAATCGTACCGTCAGAAAGACCCCTCTGCTAGAAAGCGGAAAGGAGGTGAGAAGGCCAGGGGCTCTGGGCAACGGGGCTCTAGTCCACAATGAAATGACAAGGCCTATGCCATGAAAGTGGTTACAGGAGTAGAACACAAGTGAGGTGAGCATTTCTAGCTTTGCAAAGGAAGAAGCCACTGGGCTCAGTACCTGGAGAGAAATGGGACGAGGGGAAAGAGAAGTCATGGATCATTCCAGGGTTTCAAACAAGGGCTGGCTGGCTAGGTAGGTGGTCGGCACAATAACCAAGGCAAGGAGAAGGAGTCTCAATGTGGAGTTCCTGGTTCCCTTTCTGATCTCCCTCCCTTCTAAGCAGCCAACAGGCTTATATCCCTGGAGCCAAGAGATGATGATGATGACAAACAGGTACACATCCTGTGTTCTACTTGGTATCTCTACAGGAATGTTCTGTCTTAAACTCCTCTTGCACAAAACCAAACTCCTGATATCTCCCTGGAGCCTGCTGTTCTCCAAGTCAGTAAATGGTAGTATCATCTACCCAGTCCCCAAATAAATGACTAAGCATCTTCATTGATTCCACTCTTTCTCTCATTCCAAATCACCTAACCATCACAAGTTTTATCTTCCTCCTAAATATACTTGATACAGCGAGTTTCCTGTGCTGTCTGATATAATAGCCAGTAGCTACAAGAAGCCATTTTTTAAAAAAATTGAAGTATAGTTGATTTACAATGTTGTGTTTGTTTCAGATACACAGCAAAGTGATTCAGTTATATATGTACATATGTTTTTTTCAGATTATTTTTCACTATTAGGTTATTTCAGGATACTGACTATTGTTCTTTGTATTATACAGTAAATCCTTGCTGCTTATCTATTTTATGTATAGTAGTTTGTATCTGCTAATCCCACGTTCTTAATTTATCCCTCCCCACTTTCCCATTTGGTAACCATAGGTTTGTTTTCTATGTCTGTGAGTCTGTTTCTGTTTTGTATATAGATTCACTTGTATTATTTTTTAGATTCCACATATAAGTGATGTCATTCAATATTTATCTTTGACTTACTTCACTTAGTATGATATTCTACTAAACTACTACCTCATTGTAGTTTTAATTTGCATTTCTCTAATAATTAGCAATATTGAGAATCTTTTCATGTGCCTTTTGGCTGTCTTTATGTCTTCTTTGAAGAAAAGTCTGTTTAGGTCTTCTGCCCATTTTTTGATTGGATTGTTAATTTTTTTGTTATGAAGCTGTGTGAGCTGTTTGTATATTTTAGAAATTAGTCCCTTGTCAGTCTCATCATTTGCAAATATTTTCTCCCATTCCGTAGGTTGTCTTTTTGTTTTGTTTATAGTTTCCTTTGCTGTGCAAAAGCTTTTAAGTTTAATTAGGTCCCATTTGCTTATTTTTGCTTTTATTTCCATTACTCTAGAATATGGATTGAAAAAAATGTTGCTTAAATTTATATCAAAGAGTATTTTGCCTATGTTTTCCTCTAGGAGTTTGAGTATCTGGTGTTACATTAGGTCTTTAATCCATCTTGAGTTTATTTTTGTATATGATGTTAGAGAATGTTCTAATTTTATTCTTTTATATGTAGTTGTCCAGTTTTCCCAGTGCCACTTATTGAAGAGACTGTCTTTTCTCCATTGTGTAGTCCTACCTCTTTTGTCATAGATTAACTGCTCATAAGTGCATGGGTTTATTTCTGGGCAAATGAACATTTTAAAAATAGTTATATAGTTTTTGTTATTTTTGATTTTGGAGGAGGCTTATTGATACTACAAAAGTCCTAACTTTCACATAGCCAGACTGTAGTAGGCTCAATAATGGCCACCCAAAGATATAGAGACCTAATCCCTGGAACCTTTTTGGGAAGATCTTCGTAGATGTGATTAAGTCCAGGATGCTGGCGTAAGACGATCATCCAAGATTATCCAAGTGAGCACTGAATCCCATCACAAATACCCTTATGAGAGAGAAGCAGACAGACACATAGAGATCAGGAGGAGACAGTGTGACCACAGAGGCAGAGATCAGAGTGATGTGGCCAGAAAGCAAGGACTGCAGGTGCCGCAAACTGGAAGAGCTGAGGTTGGATTCTTCCTTACAGACTTTGGAGAAAACATAGACCTCTCAACACCTTGATTTCATCCCAGTAAAACTAATGTTGAACTTCTGGCCTCTAGAACTATGAGAAGATATATTTCTGTTTTAAGCTTTCAGCTTTGTGGTAATTTGCTACATCAGGCACAGGAAACAAATACACAGATCTATATGCTTTCAAAGTTTATGCTCCAAACCACTAGTATATAAAAAAAACTCCTCTCTTTTTAGAAAAATTAACCTATTATTTTAAAATAACTTTGTATTTACAGAAAATAAATGTAAATCTTTGATTTACAGAGTACGGAGATTTCGCATAGCACAGGGACTTCCCACGTACTCCTCCTCCAGTTTCCCATATAGCTAGAATCTTACCTGACTATGGTGCATTTGTCACAACTAAGAAACCATCCTCAGTACTTTCCTGTTAACTGTACTCTACCCTTTATTTGGATTTCACTAGCTTTTCCACTAACATCCATTTTCTGTCCCAGGGTCCCATCCAAGATATTACGTTACATTTAGTCATCATGTTCCCTTAGTCTCCTCTGTCCTAGGGCAGTTTCTTAGACTTTCCTTGTTTTTCACAACCTTGACAGTTTTGAGGATTACTGGTTAGGTATTTTGTAGAATCTCTCTCAATTTAAGTTTGTCTGTTTTTCTCATGGTTAGATTGAAGTCATGGGTTTCATTGAAGGATACCATAAAGGGAAAGTGTCCTTTCCATTTCATGATGTCAGGGGTACATGTGATCAACACGACTTTATCACCTTGAGTACCTGGCCATGGTAGTGTTTGCCAAGTTTCTCTCCCATGAAGTTACTTGCTTTTCCTCTCTTTCTACTCTTTGAAAGCAAGTCACCAACTATAACCCACACTCAAGGGGTGAATTAAGCGCCACATCTTGGAATTATTTGGAATTCTTCTGTTAGGAAGATTTGTCTCTTCTCCCCCATTTTAAAAAATTTATTCAATCATTTATTCATGTCAGTATGTACTCACAGATATTTTAGTTTATATTTTGGGCTATGATCTGGTACTATATTATTTCTTTTGTTGTTCAAATTGTTCCAGTTTTGACTACTGGGAGCTCTTTCAAGATGTTTTTTGTGTCCTTTTGACACCCATAGTTTTGCATCTTGGTTACGCTAGGATGATTTCAAGTGGAACTCAGATGAACATTTTTTAAAGAGTTGTATATTTACTTTAATAGATGGTAGGAAAACATAATCTGCAGTCAAATTGG